GTAAGGGTTTTCGGTATTTAAGGGTTGGGAAGGGGTGAGATTGGGCCTACAGTAACCTCACTCACACGCCGAAACACCACGCTGTGATTGTTTCACACCGGTTTTCTGTGAGGCCGTGGTATCACTCCGATAGAGCCGACCCATTCGTGCCGAAGCTTGGCTTTCCCAAACTGATTTTTTTATGATCTCCTCGTAGAACATATCTTACTGATTAATAAGGGAGGAAGACAATGGTTACCACTGACACCCAGTTGTCGCACGGAAGACAATAGAAAGCAATTAGGCTAGAGGCGGACTTGGAAAATAAATGATATGATATAATTATTATGAGTGTTGAGAAGGTTTGTCTACATAATGATGGGCTCCTGATACCGAGGCTTTCTTTCTGTTTTTGAAATTGCGCCGAGACTACGATTTTCTCCTGTGTCGTGGGTGCGTTTAATATATATATAACATATAATTTCACATGGACATGACACCCAGACCAGGAACAACATTATGTACATCATACAAAGACTTGTTCCGTGCGAGTTTTATGCACTGGTGAGCAAAAGAAAATCCCCGATCACAACGCATTTTGTTTTTCTTAGACGAAAAATCCACTGTCATTTACCCGACTACAGTTGACACGGTGGTTGGATAAACGATCGCCGTGTTGTGGTTTTATTAACTCACTGTGTGATCCAAAAATTCTTTTTCTGGGTTTGGATTTGTATGTAAGCATGTTTGTAAACTTATCCTCGATACAGGAGGAAATATGTACGTAACACAACGATTATTTTTTGTCAATTTTTTGTAATCAATTCCTACTTAGATAGACCTTAAGTGCACATTCAGCAAAAGAACATTTATAATAAACCACACATTACTTTACAAGTAAGTTTCGTCAGCTTGCAGTGTATACTCACTTTGATGTATTAGATTTCAATGTTCTCGGATTTATTCTTGTTTTAATCGAGATCACTCCCTTGAGTCTAGACTTAAGACCATCAATCAGATACACATCTTTCTATAATTACTGAACTATTATGCTAATAAATATAACGTTAATTAGTTGTCGTTTACTCTAGATCAATTGTGAGGGAGCCCTGACATCGGATGCGCAGGCGCCGCCCAACGCGACGCGACAAGGTTGCACGCGATCAGCGCATACATTAATACGTTTGTATCTAATCAACCCTCACTTAGTCGCCGAACATTACATTGTTGCTGTATAGTCTGGGGTCAAAACGACACATTCATAAGTAACTGTCCACGTCGTCAATATGGTAAGAGGATCTTTTTTGACGCCATGGGACTTATCATTTGGGAGGGGTCGATGCCAACGGCGCAGAAGCTCCTTGGATAACTTTAATCTTAATGAAATGGGACACAAACCAGTGACTATCCCTGTATGCATGGAAATATAATAAGTAAAAGTCGGTGGTTGCCATATAAAGCATTGTATCAGGTGGAAGGTTCAGTGAAATTTTAGATGTCATTGTAGTGGAAAAGTTTCCAAAAAGTACCGTTGGCAGCATCAGGGTTTACTGTCTCTCACTGATCCCAATAAATAAGTAAACGATATTAAAAGAGTACAAGCAGCCGACCTCGCTACCATTCCATTGTATGTTAAAGCCGTCCTTTTTGTACTGGAGACAGCAGGACGGTGTTCTGTGAACGGAAAGTATTTACTCCTAAGCCAATTGCCTACTTAATTGTTTGTTCGTGATGAAATCTATGTCGCCTAGTAATTATGAAAAAAAAACCTTTTTTTTTATTTATAAAGGAGGTTACACGGAAAATAATTAACTGGATATTATCACATAAATTAATAGGTATTGGAAAATAACTTGAAATATTGAGTCTCGTGTCGGGTCTATTGTTCGTTATTTAAGAAAAATATGTTGTTTTAAATATAGTCGACGAATTAATGAACCATTGTCATCCCGACTAGTAGATAAGTTAAAAGGTAAATTCAAATTCAAATGTTTATTGCATTCCATAATGTTACATTAGGTGTTATTATATGTGTATCAGTATTAAGATCATTATGGACCCTGTCGGGCACAGCAAATTACAAAATAATAAAATTAACTTACATTACAAAATAATAAAATCAACTTATATGACAAAATAACAAAATTTAACTTATATTATGAAATTATAAAGTTCAAATATATTTTAAAATTAAATTAAATTAGGAAATAAAATAAATTTATGAACTTAATTTAAATTAGGAAATTAGGTAAATTAAATTAATAATAATAAAAATGTTTTTAATCTATAACTACGTAACGTAAAACATCTTATACATTAGAGAGGTATATGTATATGTAACTTTAAAAAATGCTTAACAGACCTACGTTTGTTTTATGGATATGTTAATAGTAAATGACAATGCATCGGATGTGATCCTTCGATACTTTTAATAAATTATTATAGAATTTATTTTCAGTACCTACCAGTATTTGAACTCACAGTTTTGCGAATAAAAATCATTTTTATGAAAAACATTGGCGCCGAGATAAGCAAAGCCTTTTTAAATGTAAGTAACTACAAAAAGTAAATAATTATCTTCTAAACCAAAAGTAAAAAAAGATATCGTTATCAAAATTAACATAAAAACAATGTGATTCTCTGTTTGTATAGAAAAATAAACAATTCTTTTACCAAGGTCGTACCTACGAGTCACAAGTATCTATGTAATACGGGGAACTAGCTAATTACACTCTTAATGACTTAGTTATAAGGTAGTGGTTTGCGAGTGGAGTCGGATCAGCTTATCTTTTAGGAAAACTGAATTTTTAGTATTTGCCTTGTGTGTGTGTGTGACAACAATGAAGGACTAGGTTATACAAGAATTACCTACATATACATATTATGTAGTTTGAGTGTCCAAAGGTAACCTTTAATAGTTCTATCATTACAATACAATTTGAAAGCACAATATTAAGCAATAAACAAGAAATTGCCATTTCTAATTGGCTGATTTTTTTTTTATGTAATAGGTCAGCAAACGAGCTGACGGATTACCTGATGGTAAGCAATCAGCGCCGCCCATGGACACTCGCAACGGAGGAGTTACGAGTGCGTTGCCGACCTTTTAGGGATTAGGGATTTGGAGATTTAGGGATTGAGGAGGGATTGGGGGAGAGGAAGGATTGGGCCTCCGGTAACCTCACTCACATGGCGAAACACAACGCTGTGGTTTTCTGTGAGGCCGTGGTATCACTCCGGTCGAGCCGGCCCATTCGTGCCGAAGCATGGCTCTCCCACAAATAAATTGATTAGTCGCAATTTTTAATTTATTTTATACATTGTCATCTACACTTGGATTTTCTCTTGTGTCCTGGGTGGGCTTATAAACTGACATGTTTATATAAGTTAACATGACTTACATCCAGAACCGGGGTAAATGTACCTGATACGGATACATCTTTCTATTTTACTATCTTAAAATGATTGGGTGAGTGTGCCTATACACACACACACACACACATTATACATATAACTACCTATAGCACATTTGTGTAAACTCCTTCAATAAAATACCTGAGTACGGTGTTACTGCACACATGCAAGCAAAGGTCTTTGACCTTTCAAATTTGCTTCTTTTATATTTTGGTAAGTAAATATTTGGGTTGATTAGTCGAAAAGGCTGTGAGGCTCTCTCTTATACTCAAAACAAACCCTTAAGAAAATAACGGAGTACTGGTTTGAACTGTGAAATGCTTTTTGTGTTGGATAGTCCGTACGTATAAAGTAAAGTACGTACGTATAAAGGAAAATTATACTTGATATGACTATGAAAGCCGAGCAGCAGGAGAAACCACTGTTTAAAACCTATAAATTAATTTATATGATATTTTAAAGCTGAAACCGAAGGCTGAATCACAATACAAGCAGTCAGTTCTCATATAGGTACTGTATTTATTAACTTAATCGTTTAAACTAGTTATGTACATGTTCGGACTTTGCTATTTTGCCATCAATTATATGACACGATATGATACAAATATTACCTAACGTTTGATTGAGCGCAAAGAACAAAAATAATTGCAATGATTTAATAATTTGAGAGCTGTATTAGCAAAATAAGATTTTTCATAAAAAAACCAACACAAATTCCTTGGAAAGGTCTGGGGCGATAATATGTATTTGCTTTACTTTCAAAAAAAAGTAAAAAACGGAGAGTAGGTAGTACTAGGTGTGTACTAGAAGACTGTAGGTAAATAAATATCTATTAAAAAACAATATTTATATATTTTAAACGTCAACCAACAATAAAAACTGCTTTTAAGTAGATATGCAGAATTTGTACAAAACCTCAAATTGTTTGCGCTGCCGGTTGACTCTTCGTATTCGTATTATAATTAATTATACCCACATAATATATCAAATATGTACATTATGTATATGTTGATGTCGATGCCAAACCTGCTTCTCAGGTCATGTACTATTTATCTATGTATGTATGAATATACGCAAAAAATATATTATTCGCACAGTTCGCTCTATTCATTCCTAAGGTTTTGCTTTATTTAAAAGTTTAGAATCGTCATGTTTAAAATCACGGGACTTATAATTTAGAAAAGAAAGTGTACTTGAATGTGAGAAGAGCACAATTGGAATGGATGTGGCAGTTCACTCTGTGAAATTGGGATTTTATAGCGCTAGCTTCAAGTGGACACACTGTTATAAACACTTGTAGATATTAATAGGCAAAGCCTCAATTACTGTAAATCAAACCTAAGTAGATACAACAAGTTTCCCAAACATAGCTCAATTATTATAATCATTATCAAAATATCACCCACAGATCGTCCACAGCTGAACACACTAGCCTCAATGTACCTGCTCCAAATTATTCTCAAACACATTTTGCATCAGAGGTTTGATATCCAACAAATATTTTTCTACGCATCTACGTACTTCTATAACAACATCACGCTTAGCACGAGCACGTGGCACGACTAGAGTCACGCATTAAGAGTATACACATATAAAGGGGCACTCACCGAGTAGCGCGGCCAGCACCACAAAACTGCTGAATATGATCATTGTCACCAGTTTCAATATTTACATAAAATGTATTGTCTGTCTGTCTCGCGGAGCACGTCGTCCCGCGCTTGATATCGTCCACATTTGAGCCGCCACCTATTACCTCCGTTTTTATATTCGTCCGCAGGAAAACTTATAAATAAAAGTTGAAAACTGTCTGTTTGTTCTGTCCACAATATTTTCAGTGGTTAGCGATAAAATTTTGTTTCGTACACATTCGTTGGCTCTTGAAGATTTCGGATGTTGTCTGTGTCTCTGATAAGATTAAGTCATCAACATAAGATATCACAAAGTAATCTCTGCTCTTTTTCAATTGTGTTTCTAGAGCATTGACTTCTTTTACACTAACATTAGAGATTTTTTTCAAGAAATGTAATGTCCAAGTAGTAACTAAATCTAAGCTAACAGATTAATCGTCCGTATCTAAATATAGCGTTGATGTATGTGAGTATGTGAATCTCAGTTCGGTTGGAGAGCCGGTTTTTACCTGGTAGATAAAAAACTGTTCTGTCTAATACTATTATTATAATTATTTTATGACCACAGCAGTTAATTGCTGTCAGTTTTTTATTAGGGATTTTGGGTAATTGCTAATTGTGTTTAAAATTAATAATATTATAGGATAATTTATAAATTAATATGTAGGTACTTAGTAATTTTACCAAGTTGGAAAAACGATCTAGTAATTAAAATTGTAATCTTAATTGCTTTTTAGTAGATAGTATTTCCGATATAATCAAATTTATTAACGAAATGTAAGTCAAACTGACTATAAACTTAGTGACAATATCCGCCAACTTGCAAATGTAAAAACAAAGAACTCAAGATCCAGTTTTGAAGCTTGCTATTGGTCTGTGTAGACTAATGCAGGCTGAAGATGATGAAGTCAAAGGAAGCATCTCTTAATTAAACCACTAGCAATAATGAATCTTCAAAAAATATTACAGTCTATCCGTCAGTGAGGTCGATACAAAGTAGACTCCTATAGAAAAGAACGAGCCTGGAACTCCACGATGAAGAGGTGAAACTTTATTATTGCAGATTGTGTTTTACAATTTTGGTTAATTAAATAACGGTATACACAAGTTGGACAGGTTGTCGGTTGTAATTGTGGGTCAATCAAATTATCAGGTTCTTTTATAAGCACTGAAATTACGATTACAAATGAAACCTTACATTTCGACAGATATTTCTTTTTGCTAAGCGGTTTCTCCGTCCTTAATAACATTACTCCAAGATGGCTTCTTGAAACGACAAGTAACTAATAAGTCGCCTTAATTGCAGGTCACATTAGTGATGTAGGTAGCTATTATTGTAATTAGTGACTAAGAATAATATTTATCGCTCCTAAGGGACACAACTCCGCTCTATTTCTAAGATTTTTTATTAAATTCTAGTATGGGATAGCCGTGCGTGGTGGCGCGATGGCTCTTTGAAGGTAGTGTTTAGCCCAAGCTGGGCAGTGGGCACGTCACCTCCAAGCTCCAAGGTGTCCCTCAGAGGGGTGGTGATATTTAAGATTTACTCTGCCAAGTGATCCGCTGACAGTGATGTATTGTGAAATATAGAAGCAGAGAAACATTGTTGTGTTAATCGAAGGTTGGGCGATTACAGAATAACAAGTTCTGCTACCTTGCAAAGGACATTGATGGTATTGTTTATCTAATGGGATGTTCCTTGTTATAATGGATAAAATCACGTCAACATTTTTTCATATTCCAAATGTCAATAGAACAAACCTCGAATTATGTTACGAACAATTAACATACTTGTTTGACACTAATTAGTTAAAAAAAGTCTACGTATAATTAATTAATTACAGCTTAGTAAGTTTTGAATGTCTTAATAAGTCTGCACGACGTATTTTTAACTGAGGACACATATACATAATTATGTATGTACCTATGTATAGTATTCGCGATCCTGACTGTTGTCAATTTTATCTTTTTGTCAATTTATTTTGGTGAAGATTCAAGGACGTCGGATTGTTTTTGTAGTTATCAACATAATGTTACGTAGGCAGGCAACATTGAATGAGTTCTTCTTTTCGAAGACAACATCTTTTGTGTAATGGACATCTTAAAATTTGGATATAAGATGTTTCATGATGGAATCATCATGCGATTGAGGGACAACAAACTATAAATTAAAGTAAAAAGTACGAGGATAGGTATATAATTACATACAGCACAAAAAATATTGATTGGTCTCTTAACGGCCATTTTTTTAGGGATTGATCTTCGCTTATAAATTGTGTATGTAAGGTTTGATATTAAATAGTGCGTTGATGCCTTCTATGTATAGTTTCGAGCTATTTTTCATTGGAATATCATAGCCATACGACTAGGTCATTCAATTTGCGTGGTCGTTCACCAACCAGATGGACCGATCAAGTGAAAGATTCATCACCCTCCTTATTCTTCGCGGTAGTCGGAGGCGGATCATCCGCCCCAGATGTTACCCCGATGCTGACCACGATCCTCAGACATGAGGGACCGACTAAAAGAAGATCATTCAACCAACAAATGGTCTTTTATCAAATTGTAATGAGAGTACCACACTTGATGTCAACTTGGCGACGCAACCGACCCCTTGTCCGAGACCAAATTAAAGCTAGTGTTTGTCTTTACACTCTATACAGTAGCTTGACTTTTATCACGATATGGTGTAAAAAATAAATAGAGCCATAATAAGCATTACGTTTTGTTTCAATACCTCAATAGTTTTAAACACGTTGTTTTGAATAAAATTCTTAGAAAAAATGGCGTTATACCTAATATTATTACCGTATGTATAAGTAGTTCTAAGGAAAAAATGTTAGTTACAAAAAAAGTTGTGCAAGTACCTAAATATAGTTTAAGAACAGGTTTAACGTAATAAGTGTACGTTTATTGATTATATTATAAATAAGAAATGTAGTCAACACTTTTGGTTTGGTGAATGGTAGTCTAGATGTCAGTAAGTATGATAATGTTAGTTCAGCTATTAGCAGTTTGCCTAAGTAAACGAACATATGCATATGTATGTGTGACAGTAATAATTATGTATTATTGATATACACGTAGTATAACGGTCTTGGAAGTGGCTGTGTTTTTGGAGGACTGATCGCTTATATATTTACATACATTTTGCAGAAGTTTCGATGGATTCTATCAAATCTGAAATGCATTCGAAGTTATAAACGTGAGAAAACCTTATATAAGATGTCATAAAACTGACGTTATTAGGACCTCTCGCACCCGGCCTCTCACTCAAGCGAGAGGAACTGGGAAGCCGTCTCTTCTTTCTGCGAAAAAATTATGCTCGCAAAAAAAGAAGCGGAGCGCGTGAAGGAGTCATACTCCTCCTCACGCCCCAGCCGCCACAGTAAGCAACACTCCAGGCGTCGGGGATCAAGAGACGAACTCCAGCCACCGTAAGCGCGGGTCTGCGGTCGGCGAGTAAGGTAGCTCGTCGCCCGACCAGAACTAGACCCGAACATACGGCGCGTTGTTGCGTTCGTCTCACAAAGAGCCAATAGACCACAACAGACGGGGCCCTATAGGGCTGATGTTCTGCCGGGGTTGCGGGGCAAGCGCAATGAGGCACCGCAGCCTCGCCCTAGAGCAGGAGAAGGAACGGAAGGGTTTTTAATCAGTAAGAGTTTGACACTTACTCATTTAATTATTTTTCCCTCACAAAAAGAAGAACTGACGTTATTGGCCTCAAAGGATTACCAAGCTGAACATGTTCTAGAATGGAGATCTAGGTAATCGTAGTTTAGGGCGCCCTCCAGTCAGGCGGCGATATCCGCAAGGTGGCTGGTAGTGGTTGGATATTACAAGCTGGAAATCGAGCCGTGGACAGACAAGTAGATGGAAATGGGCTGGTGGTGTTCACGAAATCTGGTGAAGCTATGTCCCAGCAAGGTCGACGACCATTAAACATATAATGATTGAGTTAATTATTTACTGAAATAGCACTTGGTTCTTAACGTCTTTATTCGCAACGCAATGCGTCGTCGGTAAGTACGTGACTTCATTTAGGCAACAAAAAGTGTCATTAGGCTAACCTGCTAATACACATACATAACTAGGTACCCTGCTTACTACAAGCACTTCTTAATTACTTCTTGTACGGAAATTTGTATTATACCTTCCTGTGTCTAGACAGAAGTGGTAGTACAAATTGGAAAACGATAGTACAACAAAAAGTGTTGTTTAATTAGTTTGAGATTAAGTTACTTATTTCAACTTCCGAAAATGGGTATTATTTTTGTACGATTAACTAAAAATTTTGGTCGTGATTTATTAATAATAATTAATAATTGATTTGCGTTGTCAACTCTTTATTGGAAATGATGACTGGTTTTACTATTCATCAGCAATTGTCCTTTCTAAACCCATTTTTTTAAAAACATTGAACGCCTCACTATGCATTTACTTAGTATACATATTTTTCGCAATCATTGCACAGTGAACTACTTTCCAATTAAACAGCACAAAGTTGTAACAAAAATACTGAAACAGCTCATTAACAACTTTTACCGACGTATCATAGAGGCAATTAATTACGGCGTGTCACCAAGGAGCCGGGCAGAAACACTGCGGGCGAGGTCGTTGATAACAAAACAATAAACTACCAACTTTTGATATGTCTAATTGCAATCGTAACGAAATGGCGGCCGTCCTCGTGCCTCGTCCTCGGTTCGCTTTATCACACTCACAGCGACCGACTACAGGAAACAATACAACTATCTCTAAATTTCTACTAGAAAGGTCTAGAAACTTTCTTTTTATATACGTTCATTATTCTAATCCCCTCTGTAATCCCTAAGTATATAATCCGGTCTGGATTGCTGATACAAACTTAATTACTTATTTTTACGCTAAGGTGATCTAATAGAAAACTTACAACTGTGACTTATATGTACTTGAGAGATCACATAGTGTCTTGAAATATTTTTAAACATGTAATTTTGTCAGCACAGCGTCTGGCCACCTACTGACTTGGTAGCAAGATAGTTGTGATATCCATAAAAATGATTACTTCATATATTTAGTGTGCAACGTTTCATGACGCGACCAAAATCGCAAATGAATTCAAAGCATTTTTCATTTCCATGCTCATGGGTAAATAGTAAAAATTCAACAGTGATATTAGGTACTTATTTTTCTGTTTTATGCAATTTAGTTACAAATAAGACTGAGCCGTTCTTCGGTCTGATTATTAACAAGCTGTATTTCAGGAACCATGAACATGTCCAGCCGAACGGTTTAAAATACAGATAATGTATTTATTTTTTGTTACCGCCGTAACAAAATAATTTGGTACACAATAAATATAAGCTCTTCGTGGACCTAGTCGGTTGTTAGGAGTTAAGTTGTAAGGAAAAGTGTTCAGTCAAATCGTTTACAGATTTACAGGTGGTAGCCATCGTTTTCCAATAATTTGCTACTTGTATTGTTTTGCTTCTGAAATGTACATATTTTAAAACATTACTGATGTCCTTTCCCCTAAAATGAAGAATTTTAATTAAAATCAAATATTTTGTCGCTACAACGCTAGGCAGTACCGATGTTGAAGAAATGACGTCAGGTCACTATCTCTCTAAACGTAGTCACCGTATTAGTATGTACCTATTCATACAAATTCTAATTCCGATCTTGTTTATTTGCATCCTAAGCCGTGGTTGAAAACATTAGATTATTCATGATTCTATTAAAATAGTATTAAACATTTGTTTACCATTAAGGTGTAGTTTTTTTATATAGGATAAGTCGGCAAACTAGTAAACGGATTACCCGATGGTAAGCAATCAGCGCCACCCTTGGACACCCACCACACTAAAGGAGCTACTGGTATGTTGCCGGTCTTATGGGGTTCGGATATTTAAGGATTGTAACGTATGGGGGGAGGGATCGGGTCTCCGGTAACCTCATTCACACGGCCAAACACAAGTAGTTGTTTCACGCTGATTTTGTGTGAGGCCGTGGTATCACTCCGGTCGAGCCTCCCACACTTTTGTCCTAAACATCCTTAACTTTTAATATTATGTTTAATTTCAAGCAGCCAATTTGTTCACAGGTTCCGTACTCATTAATTCCATAAATACCCTTTACTTCCGTCCTCTGTAAATATGATAGAGCGTCCTAGACCAATTACTGGAATTAATTAAATTAAAACAAACGTACAATTAAATACAAATCTGTCAACATTTGTTTTGGAACGATAAGGTCCTTAGTTGTCGCCTTGTTCCACATTGTTTATCACTGCGAGATATTCTGATAAAATCATAAACACGGTTTAAGGCTGAGGATAGACTGGCATAAGTATTCTGTACCTACTCTAGAATATACTGATACCCTGAACTTATACTAGTGATGACCACATTACACCTATAGGATCTGAGTGATTATTAAATCCTGACCATGAATCAAATTTGAGTAAAAGAAATCGCCAACCCGCATTGAGCAAGCGTGGTGATTAATGCTCAAACCTTCTCCGTGTGAGAAGAGGCTCAGCAGTGGGCATTTATAGGCTGATGATGATGATGATGAAAAGAACAGTGAAGATTATAAATCGCTCAAGTAATTTGTGTTGTACAGAAATGGTCACAAAATCTACTTATACTACTATCTTTTTTTACAAGCAAGGCGGTTTACTATCGTCTCCGTCCATAGATACCTGCGACATCAAAGAGGTTAGGTACGGGTGTCGCGATTCCTTGGATTGTAGGATGTGACGGACCGATTCCCCTGTAACCGTACCCACACGACGATGTCGTTATACGCAGGTTTTCTACAGGACTGTAGTATGTCTATATTTCAACGAGTCGTAGTTTAAGTACCAAAGCATGTCAACATTTAAAGAAACATTTAAACACGTTAAACGCTTGAACTTCTTATGTTAAACTCGAAATAACTTATTTTAAACTTATGTAAAAAGGTTTCTTGTTCCCCTGAATAAAGAAAATGTTTGTAGATTAATGTAGCTCTTTGCTATAAAGTTGTGTGTAGTATATTCACTTCTCGGTTTCATCGTAGCACTATTTTTAAGTCATGCAATAAGAAATCGCTGTTCTATAAACATTACAATTAAAGAAAAACTCTTCCTTCTTTGTGCCAGAGTTTTCCGCATGCCCGATAGATGCCCCGTTTTTGAACATACGGTGCGTTGCGTGGGGTATGTATTTATTGTGTAAACAGAATTAACATTTTTACCCAAACAGAAAAAAATATATATTATACGTAATTTTGCTGTGAAGTTTTGCTTTTTATTTCACTTCGACTTTTTTAACAGGACAGTAAATAAAGATTCCAGTATAGCTCATTGGGTAATCTCTATTTGTATACTCGGGGAATTCTATTTAAGAGGTAGGGAAAACCGTATTATATGAACTGTTAAAATGCTAAATATTAATAAAGATGTGTGGAACAAAATAGAATGCATTAGCAATTTTGTGCAATAATCGTGATGAAGGATCCGGTACCGTGAGGCTACGGGTTCTATGTGCGTCTTACACAGCGTGGAATCCCCGAACGAAAGTTACTATCGTCAGATAGTTCTAATATCATTTCGTAACACTGAATATTCATGAACAACATCATGTAGTATGACTTAACTACTTTGCAAATGTGAAATCTTTATTATACATGACATTTTGAGAAATTTCTCTTTAAGTGTTAAAGAACAATGGGTAGACTGATCAGTGAAGCAAGCTTGTCTGTGTACCAGCCCTAGGTCGTGCAAAACGCATGCGCATGACTCGCCGCCTCCACTCGTGCGCACCTAGCCTAATGTAACTCTATAACAAATTGAGATATGGAATGTGAAATATTTACCGACATACAATACAGTTACAACTTTATACAATTATTGTCAGTCGTTAAATGTTTTAACTGCAATCGTTTAACACTGGCTCAGATTGTGAATTATAATATTCTGGTTCAATAACAATATTATTGCCATAGTACTAAATGACGAGTTTTTAAGTAAAGTAAAAGCAATAGTAGAGGATTCGAAACCTGGCAAGTACCAAAAGGACTTTTCCGAGGTATATGAGGGTACTTGTTACATATGATTACTTAGACACCCCTGACATATAATGAAGGAAAACATCGGGAGAAAGCCTGGACTTATAATTTCAAATTATAAGTTTTAAATCGCCAATCCACCTTGAGCAAGTATGGTAATTAATGTTCAAACCTTCTCTGTGTGAGGAGAGGCCTTTGCTCAGCAGTGCACATATAGGCTGATGAAGTGTTAAATCACAGGTTTCAAGGAGATCAGAGATTATTGACTAATAGCTTTTCCATTCTTGCCTGCTCCAGGCTGCTAGGGCCGCGGTACATAATATAGAAAGTAGTATGGAATACATGTGTTTTGAGAAAGAGTAAAATTATTTGATTAAATAAAAAAGATATGGTCTGGGAACATGGTGGTATTGTTGTAATACCACTGAAATAGTGTCAACTTAATTAATTCGAAACGGAAGTAACTGAAACAGACCTTGTTCTGCAGCAATTGTTCAAATAGTGCAGCATATAACATACACAACATACAAGTACATTATACACACAGTAATTACTACTTAATATAAAATAAAATCATTATAATCTGGTATAGTTCGCAGTTTGTATGGAACTAGGAAACGACTGCATTGTTAGTTAATCAATTATGGTCAATAACTACCAATTGAACAGTTCGTCGTTTAGGTAATGTCGCAGAGCATGGGTCATACTAATTGCAATTAATTTACAATATGATTACGAATTTATACACTCAGTCGAATAGGTACCTAAGGCACAAGAAGCTACTCCGATCATTCTTCAATGAATTTTCGACTTTACTCTGATATGATAAAATTGAAAATGTTTTGAAGAAAGTCACTTAAGAGTAGTTCAATAAGTCTGCATGGACATAGTATTGAAATTGTAGTTCTCTTACCTTGAGCCATGGTCACGAGCACTGCCTTCTCCGCGCCCTGGCCAATGATAAACTGGCTTCTTCACCGCGGAAACCTTGCCCATGCAACTAATTGTATTAGACGTATTATCTGCTATGCTTTATTTCAACGTTATCTATGCTGTTCTCAAACAACATATTGCTCGAAAATCAACCTTATAGTCTAAGTAATAAGATGGTGTTGACAGTTTCGCAGTAGCTTCTTAATGTTATCTGAACCGTATATTCAGCAAATTGTGGTACGAAAAGTTTGTGTGTCTGTGTATTAATCTCGTTTTATGATTTGATTGCTGGTGTAGGTGTGGCCTGATGCCGTCTCGTAAGTTTGAAGCCAAAGCCTCATCACATAGAGGCAGGAGTAGGTATTCTTTTGCCAGAAAGCGTCGGATATAAGTTTTGTGAGGTCTCGTATTCCATCTTAATCAACATTTAATAATAAGTCACTATAAGGATATTAATACAAGAAAACTTGTGCGTTTGATGTTGTATAGTTCGTGTATCTGTCACAACTCGACAAGAACCAACTAAGATCATATTGAAATTTTATAAATATCAAATATTTTTTATTAAAATACACCCGGGGTTATGGGTGCAAGTGCAACGATTTACCACGGCTTGGCTCGGAGCAGGAGAAGGAACAGGGTTGTTACAACCACATTCCTCCACTCCACTTCCTTCATTTGGATTTCGATAAAATCATGACGTTGGAGAGCCTGCTTTGAAGAGGCCAGCTCGACCGGAATCCAATCTTCTGTCAAAATTTCGATAAACGCTCTTGTAACCTCTGCTGTTATGGATGCTCCTGGGCGGCACAGATTGCTTACCATCAGATAATTGGCGCCCATGCTGTAAGTGACAATGTTTATACCTGCATTAACTTTAAAATTGCATAATACTTAGTTCGTTTCCATACGGTCACTGTAACTTGTACGGAGGTAGAGGAACAGTGCGCTGGACACACGACGCAGGAGTTGTTGAACTATTCAGTGCAGTCGCTACATTGTTTTAAAAGTAGTTACAAGTTCGGTGCCGGGTTAGTTATCTCTTTGTTGTAAAGTACACTCGCTGCAAGTTGAGATGCACATACATAATGTAACATCACGATTCTGTGGACTCCGGCCACGGAGGCTGGCACCACGGAAACTTTACTTGGAACCTCTGTTTTACCACTTTCATTAAAGTTGCCGATAAACTCATGTATGCCATATATTACGTTCAGTATTCAAATTCATCTGACACCTAGTGGCTATTAAGACATTCTTTGAAGCAGAATGCCGAGTTTTCTTTACATTAAACCTATCGAGATTTATGATGTTCTGTGATACGATTGGCGAGCTCAAAGCTGATCAACCAATCAAAGAGCTAAACGGTTACGCAAAGAGAACTTACACTAGGCACTCTAGCTCTTTGAGAGTGCTGATATGGCGTACAACAGCCACGGGGAGATGACAGATGCTAACTCTCATTTGTGGATCGGGGAAATCTAAGGTTTTAAATATTTATTGGATAGGTTGTCATGCATCTATGGCCAGTCATGTCAAATTAATAACCAATGATAACAGGGGTTGAGCGTTTTACTGTTCACGATGCTATTCGGATATGTTGCTGAGAATCTTAAAAACTAAACCTAATAATTATTTGTTCAACAACTTGAGACCCCACGCATGCAGATCGACGAATGTGTGGCAGTTAAATTATAATCTAAACCAGTTTATAAAAGGCCAAGAGGAACACTAACGCTGCTTAATACAGTAACTTACACCAAAATATGTAATAAACAACATTTTAGACCTCCAAAAGGTACTCACAGATGCGGAAATGCGGTCGGAACTGTTATATAAACAAATAATTTTGAAATACGTAAGTGACAAGTCTGTGCGACCTTACTTTGAGTTACAGTAACGTGGGTACTTAGTTAAAAACATTTCGTCTAATGATTTACCAGTAAATTGTCAACGAGTATTGAACGTAGTGTTAAGCATTGTGTGTTATGTATTGTTTGCATGCTATGCAATTTGAAGTTTTGAATATTTTGCTATGACCTGCACCCATAGTGCGGGTTTAGAGATAGCCGACTACAGGACACGGGAGAGAGACCAGACAACAGTGCTCTCTGATAAACCTACAGTTTCATTTAGAGTCCAGCAGAGCTAATAGATTATCACAGACTGGACCCTACAGGGCTGATGTTCAGCCGGTGTAATCTAGCGGGCTAGCGCAACAAGGCACCGCGGCTTTAGCCTAAAGCAGGAGAAGAAACGGGGAAGAAAGGTTTAATCAATAACAAAAATCTGACAATCCTTCTCGCCTCACCCTTTAGCGAGAAGATTTATTTGATGATTATCGCCTCACAAAATAAAAAGCGGTGTAGTGGCACCGATTTCTGCCAGTTGTTGTTCATAATGATCGTTGAAATCCTATTCTAAATCATCCTTTACAATTGTTATGGATATTAGTGTTCAGTAAGGATTGTCAGGATACACATTATTAGAACTGACTATCGATAAACCAAGATCTTGAAATATTAGCCAGCTAATACTACAGCTACTGGTGCAGTGATTGACTGACAGATCCGGTTGACATCAATATTGATTGGGAGTGTATCTGTTGCATTGTGCAGTGAGTGCAGTGTTACGGATCTTATGCCCGTATTGCGGTAACCTTGCGTTTCATACAATACAATGTTGCAATGGTTATTAATTAGTCTGTTCTGCATTCTATGGTACATTTGTACTTTACTATTTATATCAATCATTCTCTGTCTTATGACAAGGAATAGGTTCTCCAAAAACCCGCGGGAATAACACGGTTCCTAAATACAAATCTGATATATATTTACCGTGTTTCCCCACGGCTTATTATCTATATTGTAAGGTTTCCCAATTTCTAAATCTCCGGAATCCCAATAAAAAAAACTTGAAAAAGAATAAGTACCTATAGTCTTCACTTGTTACTCCGCTGGTGGGGGTATGGGTGTTCATGGGCAGCGCCAATTGCTTACCATCAGGTAATCCGTCAACTCGTTGGCCGACCTATCACATAAAAAAAATATAGATTGTGTGACAAGTAGACTGACCAAATTGAATGAATCTATATGAAACATGAGTTTATATCATATTGCATCAAAAGTGGGCGTCGGGCGTTGTATCAGTGACAGAAGATGTATATGTGTATGAAATAACTAAAGTAAGGCTCAAAGACCCTTCATAAGTTAAAACGTTCATTTAAGTGATAAAAGTAAGTTTGGTTTTTTAAACTGAGATGAAGCCGAGATTAAAACCTCTTTAGATAACGGGGACCGTTAATAGACAACTGAGACATAATAGTGGCCATTAACGCTCATTAAAAAAGTATGGCATCAAACCAAAGAGTATAATCGTCAGACATTACGTCGGCCATATTGTATTAGGCCAGTTTTTGACGTGTTTGTTTAAATTAAAATCTTATATTATACCTTATATTTTATGGATGTGTATATTTTATAGTGAGAAGATTTTGTAATGAAGGTAAAATTGTGGAATTACTACTATTGATGCTTACATTTATTACCTAAATTCGGAATTGTTGTTGAGATTTCCTGCCTATATGTATTTTTGTTGACCATCACGTAGATGCAATAAAATTGGGTCATTTTATTTTACGTCTATTCGTCTACTAATGGCATGATGTTGATTTTAATGAAGTAAATTAGTAGGGCTTGCAGGCGACTACTAGGTAGATAGAGGGTTCGACATCTGTAATAACAGCGGATGTTTGTAATGAGGGATGATTACAGTAGTGCGATAAATAACTTGTAGAAATCGTGGCTAATTAGTGATTATTTAGCTGTCCTGCCCCCGATGTAAACTATACGACAAGAAACATCACAAGCTGTTTAGCCAAGCGCGATGAGAGGAAAACAAAGTTAGTTATGTGCGTATTTAATGGCGAATATTTTTGGTAATTGGCCTAATGAGGGCGACGAAATGTTTTCCTCATTGTTATTTCCGTAATGAAGATGTAATTATTTTCGTTCCGGCGTGTTTACCATTTGAGTGCCCGCGCTCTATTTTTGGGAAGATCATGTGTTGTGTACGTGTTTTTGGGATTAGATGGTCGAGTTCTCTTCGATATATGTATCTCTACAAGCACTTCTGTTTCCGTTGTCAGTTTTTTATTTCATTATTCTCACCACTTCCAAAAGACTTATGCGCTGTCCGTCTTTAAAAGCAAAATTTTCTTAACTAATGCTGTTACAATTGATCATATCAGAGTTGATCATAAAACTAATTGTTAAAAGTTGTGCTAACAATCACAAAACACATCTTTAGTTTTTTTCATTTCTTTATCAATACCAGAACAAAATAACTCATATTTATATGTATGAACTAAATATACGTATCTGTTGGCAAGTTTGGATATTTGTGGTACAATAAGTTCCGCGTGTGGGTCGGGAACAATGTCTCGGCACAAATTAGATTGATGTTGCTCCCCAGTAGGTACCGTAACCTTAGCAACAGCTCAACTTATACAATATTTTGATTTTAATTTCGGAGTCTTATAAATGTATCATGTTTTTTAACGTGTAACTTTTTAATTGTATATCTCAAGTGTAGCCTAAATAACAGTTTGTCACAATCGAGTAGGTCCGCCCAGCCATCATGATCGTTATCTAAGATATATTTTATTTATCTAATATATTTATACAAATGTAAAATAAGCATACTTCGGACCGTCGGGAACCGGTTACACACACACTACACAGGTATAACATGTAATATTAGTGTTTTTGGGAGAATTTCCATGTTTGTGTAACCCGTCAATTACTAGGAATCGCAAAGCCTGCCCATCTCTGCGGCGTGCCTCGAGCGAGTCTGCTTGTAACGCTTGACGTGGTCGACTCTCACAAGAGACGAGATACGAATGTTTGGCTCATTCCCTCCCTTACTGCGTCTTGCATCTGCACATGACGTGTTGACGAACCGGTTGTTGAGGTGTCCCCGCTACTGATGCAGGGGGTAGCCGCCTGAGTTGATATTAGGTCATTTTATCCAATAATCACAAAAATGATAATCGTGTACTTGTGTTAATTAATAACAAAAAGTGGCATCGTGAAACGGATTTTTCAGTTATTCAAATAGCTAATTATAATATGAAGTCCAACAAAAGTGGTGTATCACACTTTTTCATATTAATAGATCTTTAACCGAAACCCGCTTGTATAATGTAAAAATTAAGTTATTAACTAGTGAAGCGGCAGTAACATATCCTGCTGCGTAGGTGTGTTGATTAATTGAATTATTCAGGCATCATTGTTAAATAATTCATCGTGACCGATATACCTACCTGTGGTGTCGACCTATATAATTGTCGGAATAATCAAGTTAACCATATTGCCAGTATAATTATATTGATAGATTAACTAGAACTTAATGAAAAGTAATGAATTAAGAATATTAATTTCAATGTATCTATTACATCTTGCAAGTTAGTAAATACATTGTATGTATATCTTGCAGGCTACGAAATTGTCCAAGCAGCGGTCCACTGCTCGACCGGAGCACTCCCCGAGGTCTAACGTGGACCAGACCTTCAGTTCCCCCGAGCTCCCCGGCGACAGGAACAAATTCAGGAGCAAGTCGCGAGTGGAGGGCTCCGGCAAAATTTGTTTAGACGTACAATCTGCTTCGGAGTCACAGTTGGTGAGTTACCTTGACGTTATATATTGTAGGTCTAATGGATCAGTGTCCAATTGTTGAATTTTCTTTCCAGCTTAGCCGAGAAAATGAGACATCGCCTAATTCTCCTCAGTTAGACTATATACCAGGCAAGGGTGATCAAAGTTTCAGTCCAATCTCTTCCGACATTATGAACTGCATCAGTCCAGTCCAGGAGACCAGTAGGAAGTGCACAAGAGTATGCACGCAGAGGAATCCCGCTGACGCAGTGAGGGGAACATCGAAACCAGAGAAAGCCAGGTGCAACAACAGACAAACAGCGCCACGAGTGAGTATAGCTTGAAACATGTTGCAAACGATAAAGCTCATACCATAGATACTGTTTAGAATATGTTGTCAGTCGGTCTATAATAAAGTTGGCCTGTTTGAAACAAATATTTTGAATTTTACTTTGAGTTTGACGAAAGCGAAAAAATAACACGTAATTATATTTTATTTTCAGAAATCGGAAGCATGTAAGTTTTGATTTTAGTAATAATTCATTAAATAAGAATTATTACTGACGTTTTTGTTTGGACCTAGGTTCTTCCTTACTGTTAGATTCGGACGAGGCACTATCACGTCAGATCCGGGACATCCACAACGATGCTAGGAAGAGCACCAGAATCATCAGAGACTCCAGGGCGAGACTCCTCGAAATACAAAAGGTAGTAAGTCGGAAGATGTACCGTAGCAAGTTAAGTGCAGTAGAACTAGTCACGTATGTATATGTCGCAGCTTACTAACTTAATTAGCTTTCAATGGATGGCCTGAATGTAGGCAGCTATTTGATTGAATGCCTTATGTGCTCATTCAGCCATAAGATGAACGGTGAAGGGGGATTGTCGTTTCAACAGAGTCCTTACCAGATTGGTACTATAGATTAAGTTTGACTTGTGGATATTAAGTCAGTTGCTTGCGACATATGGGATTTAATTAATCGTAATTAGAAATACGTTATAAAATTATTATGCGGTTCGTTCTAGTGAGATGATTAGTCGATTTATCTTTTTGTCCTGGCTATTTCATAATAGTTTTGGTTGTCCTAGTCATACAGACATGAGCCTAGAACTATGTTGTGTAGTACCTATAACGAGCCCTGAATATTGTTTAGTTTATAGGGAATAATATTATTGAATAACTTGAACATAATCTCAGCGTTAACTAAACACATGTATTTTCCCAGCCGGCTGTGTTAATTTGTAACACAAATTCTAAAATCATAAGTTACCGACATCTGCCGCCGTCTGTTTTAATAGACTGAGAATAACTAATGAACTCGCTAAAAGCTTTCCTGAAATAAACAGAATATAATTTTATACAAGGTTAAAATATTCGTAGGTATCACGGCCTTTGGTCAATTTACAGCCTTTAGTCAGTGTGCCGCTGTGAAACGAAGTGCAGAAGTTCTACAGTGAATTGTATGGTACTTCTGGAAGTGATTACAATCTACCTATTATATCTCTATCAAACTGTTGAGTTGCTGTTTTTTCTTTCACGTCGGTTTTGTCAATCGCTCGAAGTGGCATCACAGCAGGCGGCTATTGTCGTATTGTACAGAATATCTGTTCACGTCTCATGTCACAATACAAGCTCGCGCCAGCTCGTCATACAGGGCCCCCTGAAGAGGAAGGAGGGGGGAAAAGGGAACAGCAACATTACGCCAATCGTCATGTTTTTAAAGTGATCAATAATTCATGTTGCGAATGGATCGGATCTCCAGCCGTTGCTTATTAATATTTAAATGAATCTGGTATGGCTTGTGAGATATTTATTTTCTCAAACAGATTTTGATTAACGTATTGTTTACTCCCCTTTAAAAATGTTTTATTGAGATAATCAATCGAGTTGCCTCTAAATGATGTACCGGGCATATTAATATCTCTCTCGCCATTGTAGGTACTATGAATGTTCCCGGGAATCAGGCAAGCCTTCGTATTAGTAGTAAAGTATTACAACTTACTAAATAATAAACTATCAAGACACTACATGTGTACGATATTTTTTTATAAAACTATTTGTGTAGAATGTCCTTAATCTTATCACTGACTAACAAAGGCTCTTGTAGAAATCTGTAATAACGGAGGCGGATGTGAAAGAACTGGGTGAGAGGAACGAGCTGCTGCTGCGGGAGATGGAGCGGTTCGACCGGATGACCAGGAACATACAGAAGCTGATGGGCGGTGACGTCCAGCTGAAGAGGAGCAGGGAGGAGCCTCAGCGGTGCATGGACTACGTGCCAGGGAGTGTTTATGGTGATTAAGAGAAGAATTATTTGTTATATTTAGTGGCCGCTTGTAGAGCAACATGTTCAAGACGTCTTTCCATTTCAATGTCTTTATCGTGAAATGATGTTAGGCAGGCACTTTCTTTGTATGTTAAAAAGCGATATAAAGCTTTTGTCCTAAACTTTTTTCCTGTTTGGTTCACTATAATAATTAGAATGCATCGAGCTACTCATTGTACCCTGCAATTCCCGCGAACAAGTGGAGTAACACTAGCAACACGCTGCAGTGCGACTGATTGCTATGTTTATTCTCACAATGACTAATCAACGAGCCGGTGACGTGAGAGCCAGGCCTCAGGTTACGTGACTTTGTTACTGTTGACACCGACAGCTCTGCATGTATTATAATCCAAATATACAAGCACAACGTGTTTTCTGGAAATTTTACAGAAAACTGTTGGTGTAATATTTTACTTTGTTATTGCCGTTGACAATTGCTGAAGCAAAAACAATTTTGCTGTTGTTATACAGAGCCACCTCTACACCACGAGATGAAGATGAGTCATCCGACGGTGCTGCTGGCGGGGCCCCGCTGCACCCCCGGCTCCGGCCTGGGACACTGCGAGCCACAGACGCGCAGCAAATCCGTACGTCCACATCCTTGTACCAGATGTAAACATTAAAAACTAAAAATACCAAGAAAATGTAACAAAATATGAAAATATATAATTGTAACGATTATTGTGTTTCTTTTAAGGAGATAGACCTGACTCGCAAGCTAAGTGAGAGCTACGACATGCAGGAGAAACTTGCTGCTGATAATGCTGATCTGGAAGTCAAGAGGTGTGACGCAGCACATGCACACGAGTAGAGTACACTAGCAGGAACAATGGATCGCTAATATGAGCACACTACATACTAATTTTTCATTTGCTTGATCAATTGCCATTTTTATGAATCGAAACCAGTAACTACACTGCAATTTAAAACTGCCTAAAGCAAACCTTGAGGCGAAAGCCAAAGTCAACATGTTAACAACAATGCCACAAAGAGTATTTATTCAGTTCATTATCAGGTACATTGATTTTAAAAAATTAACTTCCGTCACAAATATTCAAATTTTGAACTCACAATCTAGACGTCAGATGTCAATAGTATCAGTCAAACAACAATCGCTCAGTCAATCAAAACAGAAATTCACAAAACATGTTAAATTAATTTATTCAGTATAAGCAGAACGCACCATGGGTAAGTTAAGGTATGTACTTGCAGGTATATATTGTACAAGGAACTTATGACCAAAGACCAAAACTTGGAGACCTGCAGAGCACAGGTCAAGAGGCTGCAAGGGGAGCTGAAGCTTATGAGCAGAGAGAACAGTCTGCTACATGAGAAGCTGGACAAGAACAACCCGAAGGTGATGGCTTTCAATGCTGCAGTCTAGTGCTGTAACTTATAGCTCGGCTCAAATAGTGGTCTTGTGACATAGTGCAGTTATATCTCAAGTTGTGCCGAGTGATGTGTACCAGTGGGTGCCTTACTTTTACAGGGAGATGCTTCTGCGGTAAACCAGGACACCAAATGTCAACAAGACACAGATTCGAGTGAAGATGTGAGTGGTTTTGTGATATAGAATTACACTCAGAGATAATAATTATTTTAGTTTTACATAATAATTATACATAATAATTAGCATGTATTTGGAACTTTCTATATTTTTGGTATCTCAAGTTGTGTCGTATCTTGGTGCTGTGACATTTTCCTCTTTGGTAACAGAATCGAGCCATTATGCAATTCATAGAATATACAGGCAGTTAGGTTAATGTTTTTCAGCAAATATTGTAACTGTGTTTTTGTTTCAGAACGAAAAGTCTAATATTTATACGGAGAAACTGTTTAGCAAATTAGAAGATTACAAGAATTCATCTGAAGTCTTAGTAAGCGTGCTGATACTATTTCTTGTAATGATGATAAATGATAACTTACATCATCAGCCTGTAAGTGCCCATTGCTGAGCAAAGGCCTGATGACGCTTGTTCAAGGCTGATTTCAAACTTATAATTAGAAATTATAAGTCCAGGTTTCCTTTCGATGTTTTCCTTTACCGTGTGTTAGTGTTGTCTAAATGATCATAGAAAGTGCATATAACTCGGAAAAAGTCACATAGGTACTTGCCAGGTTTCGAAACTGTGTGCGGTGTGGGTGCCTTAACCTCCGGGCCATTACGCCCTTAAGATAATTTAAGATATAGCTACTTAATTTAAATGCCCTTGCGAATATAAAACAAAGTCGTTCGTGTTAGTTAGTTTCATACATTTTGCGTTTTGCAGGAGAAGCAGTTAGGTGGGTTGGAGCAGGAAGTGCATCACATAAAGATGGAGATGCAACAAGTGAAGATTGCGAGCACCGCGTGCAAGGCCAGTACTGGCCTCCCTAACACTTGCTTCGAACAACCGGTCAGTGGCTTGGTGTAACTGAATACTATGCGATGTTATCGTGTGCTCTTTACAAGTGTTTATCAAATGGTTTGTTCATATTTATTTGCAGCCAGGACCACCAGTGCCCCCCTTGGCAAGAGCTGTAAGTATAACACTGGATAATGCAGTAGTAACTCTTATTGTAGTGACCTTCTGATGTCTCTAATTTGTTTGCAGTGTGGTGTCTGTCCGCCTTGTCCGGCACCCTGCAATCCTAACGCGCCACCGGTAAGCATCATTGAAATATAAAATATGTTTTATCTACAAATTTTCTTTTCGGGAATTTGTCAGTAATTTTTATCTGTTCACAGACTCCAGCTGAGAAAGAAGTGGAGAAACTTAAAATTCAATTACGACAGACCGAAGAAAGCTTCAAAACAAAAGTAGCTGAGGTATGACATACATACAAATTGTGCTCATTCAGTTTATTAATGTATCCGTGAGGTGTATCGTGACATAGCCGGGTACGTGCAGCTAACAATATGTCAGTAACAGTGCATTATTCATGTTCACTGCGGAAATCGAAACCGCAGCCAAATTGCCGACCGATTGTGCATCCACAGAGAGCGGATACCGAGCCATCAAATATTAAAATGTATTTTGTTTAATCTTGTGGCTACCTGCATTATTGTGGATGGTAATTATGTGAAATGTAGGATTTTAGATTATGAAAGAATTGTTTGTATTTTGTATTTTTCACAAGTCGAATCCAACTTTGTTAAATATTGATGGAGAGATGATCACAGCCGCTCGCAAGTCCTTGCCGTTGCTTATGTAGCTAGGTATAAATGTCAAGACGTTTTATAATATAATCAATATATCAAAGATAGCTATCGAAAATGAAATAGGTACGCATGTATACAAACATTTCTATTAAAATGCAAGTATATCTACGTACTTACCGAGTTTAAAAAAATAGAAATTAACAATTGATAAATTATTATAAGACTTCTATAGTTTTTAATTATGAACAAAATTTAATATTTCGTGTTGTACTTCAACGGATATAGTGCGCCTTGCTTCGAACGGAACTGCTGAAAAAGAAAGAAGAGTTGGAGAAAGAGAGATGTCAACATCGAGAGGTTCAGAACAAGTTGAGAGAGTTGGAAATGAAGTTCGAAGGACTAGCAACTCATACAAACATGTTGTTGGGGACCAAGGAACAGGCCTTCGAGCAGGAGGTGAACGTGAGGTCTCTGAAGCAGTGCTACAGAGAGGCCAGGGAGGAGATTGACGAGTTAAGGACTCTAATGAAGGAGCAGAATGACCAGTTGCAGGATTACAGGGTCAAGGTAAGTAACATTGCACATGGTAAATTGTGCATTGAGTTGGATCTAGTTTGTACTAGGATGTGACATTATTTTTATAAATAACATAGTTTACAATAGTTTAAATACATTTAGCCTTGATCTTATTATTGGTATTTGCTAAGAATTTGACTTTTCGCCGATAAAAGTGACTAAACAAAGTGCTTGAAGATACACACAAGCTTCAACGTTTTCTGTAATCAATCAGTCATAAACTTACTGGTAAAATAATAGCTCCTAAAATCTTTTTAAGAGTATAAGTTCAGTTGTAAGAATCTTATTGTTTTCCCTAGTACTTGCAAGCCCAGCAACTGGTGGAGGAGCAGCGTCGTCAGATGGACATGATGGACATGGACAACACCAGGATCAGTGAGCAGATTAATCTGGAGATACAAAAAGTCAAGGTACACATTTCTTTCTTCTTTCACAACTTTTTTCAACAAATCGAGGTATCGTAAAATGTACATCATTATTTTTTTAAATAGTGCCAGTTTATACTAATATTACTAATATAATTTGACTTAAAGTTTTATCATATTAAAACCGTTCTTTTAAAAACTAGCCGAGACTGAAGTTGTTTATCATTAAAAAGTGACCTAATTGTAGGTTTTTTACTGCGATTTCTTCACTATAATACAAGAAGTAAACCAAACAACGTTTGCTTCATGTTATAATATGTATAATGAATTGTATGTGTTGCTTTTGTAACAACTAACATGATGTATTAAAATAATGGTAGTCACATTAACTAATATAGTATTACACTTAACGGCAGTGTTGGCATCGACTCCGCAGATGAATGTCTAAAAAGTCTAAAATAAGATATTTTACCTAAATTTGTATCTGACCGACCTTCCACCCGTATAATATCTTAACTTTCATAACTGCTTATCACAATTTCCATGCAGTGATTAAATTTTAATTAACGCCGCAGTTAATTATCGAGAAGTTGTTGTCTCGCGGTGAGAGTTAACTTTGTAACTTGGGATTTGTTTAACAAATAGCATCCTGTTTAAGACTCGGATCAACAGTGTTACGTGAATTACAACTAATTGTAGGAAACACAGTCGCCTTAGTTGTGTGATAGGGATTATATGATGTTCACTAAACTCATTATTGAAACACTGTCTTATAAAATGTTACTTAGTTGAAGTTCCAAGAGAAGCTACAAGAATTAGCGCCGATCCCGGATCTTTTGAAAGCGACGCAGATGCGGCTGAAGGATGCGCAACAAGCACAGGCCCTTGCCGAGCACAACGCTGAGCAACTTGCCAGGGAGCTTAACTGTGCCAGGGAAAAGGTGAGCACACTGAGCACCAATGTTGCGTAGCTCTTACATCGGACACATTGTACAGCATTCGTTCTAACATTCGACACTGATAGTCAGTGGAGTGAGATCATTAACTTGATTCTTTGCACAGGTTCACATACTGTTACACAATAGTACAAAACCACCACCAGAGAAATCACAGGAGAAGAGCTCTGACGAGAAACAGTTGGCCATGATGCAGCAGAGATTGGCGCAGGTCACTGAGACCAACGTCACTCTCAAGACCGAAATCGAGAGGCTAAAGTGAGTACTGATGCTGGCAGGGAGGGCTGAAGTGTTGATTTATAATTTTGTGAACGAGATATAGTAAACCTGATTTCTAATAAATTCTAATATTTTATTTTTATCAGAGCGAATGTCATTCGCATGGAAGAGTCTGTGCTAGCAAATGAGAGGCGTCTACAGGAGAAGATGCACGAGTGTGCGCAGATAGGTGGCGAACTGGACCGCGCCCGGGACGAGGCGGCGCGCGCTTTACAGCGAGCCAACGAGCGCACGGAGACCATTCGCAAGTAAGTGGCCTAGACGACATTTATTATCCTGCAGTACAGGTATAGTAACAGCATCGGCAGACGCTTGATTGTTATATTATAATTCCAGATGTATGCAGACCACGATAGCAGAAATGGAACGACAGCTAGCAGCCACCCGAGCTCAAGTAAAGACAGCTGAAAAAGATCGCGAGGAAGTAAGTGGTCACAGACACTTTCTATGAGCTCACACTGGAGTATTTACGATCCAATCTACATTTGTTTTGTTTGCCACCACAGTTGCAATGTCGCATGCAGTGCCAGATCAGACGTCTGAATGATAACTTCGAACAAGCGCAACTTCGCATCCTGGGGCTTCAAACACAAGTCCAAACACTGCGGCGAACTGTGTCCAGCACCAGCGAGGGTGGTGAGGGCGATGAGCTACAGGAGTGCACTTGTAAAAGTATCTTTGAATAATTTCAGAAGATACTGCATTGTTACAAGTATATGACGGTTGTTGATGTAAACTACGAAATTGGTCAAATGAGCTAACCTGAAGTCTTTGTGGTAAATTGCTTGGCTATTAACGTTGTAATCGACAACGCCTTGCGAAAGAGATATAAACGACTTGTTCCTTCCAATGTCTGCTGTACTCACCAAAAAGAAAGTTTTACGAAATTGACAGGGAAATAAACAATATTTAGCTTATTGTTTTTGTGGATATTGGAAGGAACCCATTCATAAATGTTATATTGTTAATCCCTGGCTTTGCCCATGGTCTACGTAAAATGTAGAATTTTTTGCTGCATCTTTTATTGTGTAGGTGATAGTGATAACAGGATCCGTTCTGTCCCAAAATTAAAAGGTTAAAGAAATAAACAATGGTTAATTATTTATTTGGTGTTTTATTTTGATATCCATGTTTATGTAAGTAAGGTAAAGTGAACACAATGTGTATGGCTCCTACATGTAACTGAGGTAGCTATATTCCACGCTGGGTCTTTGATTGCCTCTTGTCTTCCTACCAATCTGGTTATACATACCTTTCTCGGAATTTTTTCTTAACTTTATTACTCTGAGATGAAATTTGCACGAGAAGGAAGATATTTATTATGTCGCATGTTATTTCGAGAGCTTGCTTTCATATGTTCCTATTTACTTGTGAGAAATGAAGCACACTGTTCAAGTTCACTTAGTTTGTTTCATTATCTCGATAATTACATTCAAGATTACAATTATTGTTTGAACTAAATTGAAGTGGTGTTGTTGCCGTTGTGGTTGTCTCGCTCGGGCTCCCTGACTTGGTGCATGTTGCCTGCTGTAGCGAAGCACGAGCGCAGCGCCTCCTGCGCGAGGTGTGTGTCCCGGTGCGGAGCCCGAGCTACCTCATGGAACAGGTCGATGGCCTCGCACATCACTGTAATTGCTTCGTCGGTACGCTCTTCGTCCATCAACCTTGCACCTTCCTAGAAGACAAGAGAAAAGATATAAGTCAGCGGCGAAAAACAGTAAAAAACTTTATGCTATATAGTATTATTAAATACCTATTACGTAACATATAATATATGATGACGTCTGAAAAACACTATAAATATTGTAGGATCTAAGCCTTGCTAATTATTCCCAAGGCGCGCTCTGTTGATACCACTAAAACTTGAGTATTACGTTTGTTACTCGGCTCGATTGAAATTAATTTGAGTAAACGCTGAAATTGTACTGTATATAACCTAACGTGTTTGAAGCCTGTTAGTAACTATTTGGTGACGTCATCCGACTCGTGACGTAGCCGACGATGTTATATCCTGAACTTTAAGCATTAATAAATTGTACAGCACCAGATTTTGCTCGCAACTCGTACATGTGGAATATAGAATCAAGTAAGTATTTGTGATTTTATGTACCTAATTAATAATTAAATGCCAATAAACAAACGGTAGATTAAAAAAGTTAATATTTAAAAAACATAGGTAATAAAAATTTAACAAAAATTGGTTATACATATAAATGATTTTATGCCAAAAAATCCGTCAAGCAAATTCATAGCTGCTTTAGTTAAATATAGTTACCAAATTTTAATTGTTACAAATGCTTAGTTACTTCGTCTCCAACCTGATCACTTATATATTCTATAGATATATGCATAATTAAAATGGGTTAAACTATGAGGTTGAAAATGAAAAAAAAGTAACTTATTTATATTATCAAACAGAATAAGCTGCGGATATGTGAGAATGGCAAGATAATAAAAAAATTAAGAAAAATCTACAACTAAAGGATCTCGGCAACCAAAATAATTTTCCACCCACGAGATGTCGCTACCAGTCGCTATGCGAAACAGTTCGCCTGACATGGACATTTGCGGCGGCTGCTTGGAGTGTCCGACTAAATCTTCGTTCACAGGAAACTGTACGCGCTAAACTTAAACATATCGTAAATACATCTTACATTTTTGAGATCAATTTGATCTTATATGATAGTTTGTTATCAGAAATAGCTGTGGTCCCTTGGGCGTAGATAAATTAACGTTACCTAAATGAGCGTGGCTGATAAATTAATAGGATTTCGACCCAATGTTTTGGTTATATTTCATTAATTACCTTTAAATAATAAGTTACGTGATATATAAAGTAAAAGGTATTCAAAAATTATTTACGAGATAGTATAAGTTAGAATGTGATTAATCTGTGATTTCTATATTTCTGATATTTGTAACGTAATACTATGTTTAAGTTACAATAGCTTTTTCACCCCAAGTTTTAGGAAACATCTGTGTTAAGAGTTATTTAGATAGTTTTATGTTGCCTATGTAATTGTAGTAGTACTAGATTCAACTACTAGATGGCGACGTAAGGCTCAAAGTAAGCGTGTTTATTGCGTGAAAGAAGGATGGAAATTCAGACCTAGATCACCTAGTTTACTGCTTTAAATTCAAATTTGTTCGATAATACGGTCTGGTAAATTTTGGGCTCTTAGTGTAACATTGATATCATTAAAGAGCTTGATAATGTTGGAAAATAAGTTTAAAATAACACTCATTTAGCGAGTTTCCAATCTTTTTAAGGATAGAGATTTGGTCGATCTAACGTGTTATTGAATTATACGTAATGTAACAGCGTCTCAACGGTAAAGGCCAGGCTGAAGACTGCTTTTGTTTTGGATTTTTTTACTGATAGCCGTCCTGAGAAGAAAAGTTATTCGTGAGATTAAAGATGCTATAATGATTTATTGTTTTGTTTATAATTTTTTTGAAACAAAATTAAACGTCTTATTCTTTAGCGGTGGTCAGTCTGCTTTCAATAGTGCAACGGTATTGTTTGAGATACAATGTTTTGTTGGTTTGTATCTTTTATGTTTTCTTGCAAAAAACGAAAACAAAGGGAGCAAGAAATACCCAACATAAAAATTTTAACATTAATATAATGTTTATTTTTACGTTACAATTCCGTATCAATCCAAAGTAAAAATCCAGTAGGTCCACTTTAAAATTTAAGTTTTGTAAAACGGCAATTTCAACAATTGAAATCTTGAAACCTAATATTTGTTTTTAGACACTTTGTAGGTGGCACTCATATGGAAAGGTTAATATGTATTTCATCCGAAATAATATTAAGAAATCAGTGGATACATACTTGGTATTGTTTGACACATCGATTGACGGTCTCCATTTGGATCTTGACTAGCTCCCTGTTGATGGGCGTGGAGCAGCGCGTGCATCGGTTGGGCAGACATTGCAGGGCGGCGCGGAACTTGGACATGCAGTCGATGTTTGGACATCTGGGTGACGTAGAACAATTATAGACGTCTTATTGTTGGTGCGTCTGCCTGGTGTAACGAGCTGGGCAATAGCTATAGCAGCTATTTTTAGTCACAGGACTAGTGAAATAAAACTTTACTGAACCTTGGCCTTATAAATATGAATCAACTAGAGGTTATTGTCTAGTTGTGCCAATCGATAAGTACCAAACTACTTGATTAGAGTTGCAAGTTTAATGAGGTGAGGTGCCGCGCGCGATCAGCGCCGGCCATCTTGTATCAGACCACTCGACTCGTCCGTGACGCGAACTGTTACTGTTGTAGTTGTTACATCCCTCACATAATTACCTACCCATCTAGATCCTCATTTCATCAAAGCTAATATATTTCCCTACATTTTGGCTTTAAGATTATTATCAGATTGCTTTTTTAAATTAGATAAACATAAACTTTTGTTAAACTTAATTGTTTAATCAGTACCTACTCTTTGCCTAGTTCACATTTACAAACGGCTCTCTTTACCTGATGTAAGGCGGCGTGTCTCCGCTCATTTGCTTGAGAGTGGGCCAGTCCTCTTTGCAGGCGAGGCAGTCACATCGAAACCAGTACCGGGAGGCGAGGGATCGCTGGCGCTCCTTGAGGGCGCGAGTCATGAAGTGGGGGCCATAGTTCTCTGCCACCACCTCGCCCGGAGACAAGGGTCTCGTTGCGCGGAGCACGATGTTACGACCTTCAAAGTATCTGCACATACAAGTTTCGAAATAAAAACTTAAAATCTATGTTAACTTTAGTTTTACCATTTGTGACAATGACTTGTATAGGATCATTACCTAATCGCGCTCGGGTAGCACTCGTGGTTAAACAGGGCTCCTATAGGGTAGATCCCGACCGCGATGTAGACCGGCTTGGAGCCTGAGAAGGTGTGAGCACCTCGCACCGTCTCGTAGATCTCGTGCGCATTGAATTGTAGCAGCTGCAGGTTGCGGAGGATCAGGTCGACGATGGCCATGTGTGCTGCGGATGTCATGGTACAAATACAATGTATACTCATACAAAATTCCCAGTGATTCACCTAATTAAATACCTACCTTTTTCTAAATTTTCTTGTTTACACTTCTTAAAGAAACCAGCTTTTTTCAAACATTCAGTGAGAAACAGTGACATCACTATTCGTTTCAAGTAATCCTCTCCTTTCCTCTGGTCGGAGTGCGTGCACAGCGCGTATATCTGCGCTGCTCTCAGCTCTAGCTTCTCTTCAATACTAATTTTATCTTCCACTTTAACTTCTTCGTCTTCTTCTTTGAAATTCTTTTCTGTGAAACTTTTGATTCCTTTTTTAGATCTATTCAGCCTTTCCTTTCTACTTTTTATTTTGGACTTTTTCGTGACACCTTCTATGTCGTTTAGGACGGCACCTTCGATAGTCTTTACTTCATTGCTGATGTACTTGGCATGTATTGACAGGCTGGTGTCGAGCCCTGCTTGTGTCACCATTCGTAAAGCTATATGACTCAGTATTGACATACCGGAACCTGGAACCAGAGCAAATATTCATTAGCTACCATTTCCATTCCAATATTCTAGCCTGTCATTCATATAAATCTAACGAGCATTTTGCTTACCTATAAAGAGATCTAAGAATTGGCATTCAAAAGAATGATATGTGGTTACGGCTGCGTCCCTGCAAGCGATGCTGCAGAATGCAACACCTGAACACTTCGGACACCAGACCGGAGCTTCATTCTCACAATCGTCTAGTCTGGAACATAACAAATATCATAAAAATATGGAAGTAGAGCCGAGGACTATTTATTATTGTATCGTGTTAGGTACCTTTTAAAACAATGTAAGCACTGTGTGCCGTAGTAATCTGAGACTAGACATGCTGCGTATGGTGGGTCTACCAATAGCACGTCACCAGTCTTTATTGGAGAGTTTGCGACTGCGAATCGACCCTGCGGGACAAGCAATCAGTTTTTAAAAGGTTTCATATAAGTGGATCACACTAAGCAATGGTTCTATATAAAATAACTTATGGTCTGTATTAAAACAGATTATTAGCATGGCACTTGGAATTATTTAATGTTTTTTTGCTTCTGTTATGTGCTAAACCTATGTGAGCATCGTTAAACTACGACCTACTTCTTTTCAAGAGAGATTCTTACAAGAGTCTTAGTGATATGGAATTGCTACAGCTACGTGGACCGAACCGCGTGCCGCAGTAACTGGGTTACGGTTCTCTGTCTCTCTGTATCTTTGTTGTTTTCCCGTGCTTAGTTTAATGCCATTTTACGCCGCTTTGCTAAATAACTTGGTAAATCGAGGACTCATGCTCAATTGATTAATTAATAATTACTACAACTAAATATATTATCACACCACACTAAATAGCCGCTTAGCTAAGTCATGGCATGGTACACAAATACCTTTGTTTCTTCTTCAGCTAATTTCAATAATTTTGATAGAGACGGCATATTCTGCTTCGCTCCGCCGGTCAGCGCCGTCACTGAAATTGAGTATGAAGCAATATTAAAAACTAGATGGTTTCATAAAATTGTTTGCACAAAGGAAAATAAAATATTTTTCTAGAAGACTGCGCTCGCTCTGAGAACTGCTTGACCTATTCCTACTTCTTATAATTTTATTTTCTACGATATTGAAGAGCAGGGAGTATATATTTATAGAAAGCAAAAAGTATGATTGAATAACACAAGTGTTCTATATCTGGTGCTTACGGAGATAATTTTATCGAAATACTTTCGTGACCTACTTTTGAGATCCTAATGAAGCCAAAATTATATCGTGACGTTATCACGGTATTACTCGTACTTGTATGTACTAATGGCGCCATGTAGCGACATCGAACGAGAAAACATTCCAACTACAGAGCTGTAAATGGAGGACGCCGCGGAGACTTGGGAAAGGTTGTCAATGTAACAGCACGCGGCAGTAACATGCTGAAACAAGGCTGAACATGACACGAAACCTTTCTATTTCCGCTGTATGTCCGTGTGCCCGGGTTGTCAACATTTCCGGCGGGATTCACGGCGTTGGCAGCCGGAGATCCTGGACCGACACCTCCGACAGAGGGCCGGTTACTGCCCGATTTCTGGGTATGTAATGCGCCCACGGACTGGGAGCCTTTGGCACACAGCTAAGTGTGATTGATATATAACTGGTTCCGAAATAAACATCCGTTTGAAAATATATTCCGTCGAATTGAAACATTCGGATTTTTGTTTTTAATTAAACTTGAAGTAGGGCGAAAATCCTATGTATTGCATCACCCTATAAGGGAAATGTACCTACCCGTATGAAAAAGTAATATGAACTTTAAAACGTTATTTGTTACATGTATTTATATTTTAAAATCTGCTTTTAGTATTATTAATTGGTTTTAAGTTTTCATCAATGCAATACGAAATGTATATTTTTTGAATAACGCCTCCGCCCGCAAGAACAGTTTCGCAACACCCTCCTCATTAAATACTTGATTGACCCCATAAATCATAATCATTAGCGGGATGATGACGATGCATGACAATGAAGTCACTGTGTATGTGAACTCACCAGGTTTCTCAATGGTCTGCTTGGGCTGTGCCTTGTAATCTAAGCAGGCGATGTCTTCAGCCAGCTGTGCCTTGGCAGCCTCGTCAGTCCCCAGCAGTCTGCCGGCCAGCTCATATGATACCTTAGCTCGAGTGGCTTCACCGGCGCCTTTATAACAACAGGCACAAAGACACCTTTATGTAACATTTTTTATATTAGAGTATCATGTAGGAATAGGAACTGGTTAATTTGTTGAACATGCAATTACGCGTGTAGACGTTTTAAACTGAATTCATAGTTATATGTTATCTACATCTAATCATCCAAGATGTAGAAATCGTTGTAACTATTATGAGCTTTATTTACTAGTTCTTAGTTACTATGAATAGGAATTGTTTGTTTGATTCCAGAGATCGGTAAGTCGGAAATCGAACCATAGATCTTTTAACGCGTATGATGAACATACGTATTTTACAATGCATTCGTTATTTAATTATTGTCAGTGTCGTAAATGTGTGAGTTGGCTGCAGGCTACTATTAGTTTAGCAGAACAACGGGCAGCTTTGTCACCCTAACCGATGTTCAGGGTGTACAGTTCCATTGTTGGAACTCGAACTGTGAATACAACACGCACCCAATTCGGGAAACGGATCAAATAGGTCATAGCTGGAAATGTATTATTGGTTTCTTTATTTATTGTGTTCACAGCAGTAAAGTTTACTTTGTTAGCGAATTAAATGAAAGTAAACTGGTCAATAAAGTACATGTACCATTAAAACCAAATATTTATAACACCATTCACTACTCATTCCACACTCTAACACCGTTCATATGTTATCTCTTTAACCAAATGCGCCGCACACGAATATTATTCTCGTATGTTTGTATGTCAACCAGCATTTAAAACCTAATTTTTTCTGTCAGGGGATTTTATACCATTATCAAACGTTTTCGAAAATCCAATAATGTTTTAGCTAATATATCCGAATAAAGATTTGTTTCAAATACAGGAATAGATCGTTGCCTCAGGCCGTGTGCCGTGTGCAATATTCCGTCCATTTTGCTGAACGTTTTGTGGACAGAGTACAGAGCTCGAACAAATCTCCGGTGTCTGTTTCTAAATACGAAAATCAGTCAATCGATGAGTCTAGGTATACGTGTCGAAATACATCAACAATTTTTACTAAGGACTATGAATATTATCTTCTTACAAAGCATATATTTTGTATTTGAGCTGCTACGGAGTCGGGCTTGTCGCCCCGCGTACGTCTCCGCCGAGCCATAACTTCAAGAAATACCAAATGAAATCTTGTAATCCGACCCTAAGCCACAATTGATTCAGATACATCTTGGAGCGCTTTCATCCTTTATACCGGGTCGTTTCATTAAAATGCGGCGCATTGAGGAGAGGGACCTGTGAGTAATTCGATATACATCAGCAATCATTGACTTTGACGGCTGTATAGGGCTCCAACACACGTGGAAATAGGGCGTCCTTTGACTCAAAGATCGCAAAGTGCCTTTGTATGGAAAGCTCTCTAAGATTGTATAGGCTGGATTATATCGGGAACTTGTTAGGTCTTGTTTGAAAACTCAGGTAATTGGTTTGTTGAGCATCGAAGATTACTAAAACATTTAGTGAAGGGATAATATTGTGTTCCTAATATTCTGTACCGTAAATGGAACAGTATGAATGTAAAGTAATAATCGAAGTTATAAATGTATGTATCTATCTAACACATAAGGTATATTAATGTTAAAGCTTAGAAAAGGCAGCACAAGTTGAAGTAGTTGCTCGCTAGAGACGAGCGTGGACAAACTATTTGTGAGCGCGTGTCGAGGCAGAAAAACTCGGCGCTCGTCCGCGGCACTCGAGTATGTATGCACGGTGTTATAGAATAAAATTGCAGTAAACGGCACATTTTGTTGAGAAAAATTGCGATGCAGTTTGCAAAACTATTTTCCGAGACTTGTACCATACATCTGACAAGGAAAAGTTATCGAGATGACTACAAATATGCACTTTACAATTTTCATTTGCTCGAGTTGTTGGATCTTGTTTATGAAGACAACTTTATATGCAACGAAATTAGAACAATGTCAGATGAAGTTGCCACGTGTCGGCATTATAATGATGTTTTAATGCATTGGGGGATCAAGTTTTATAGCAACACGGCGAGTACCGCGACACGCGCTACACACGTAATTGCTACTTGATACTTTGTGTGCTGGGATTTCCATTCCCATATATATACGCTCCAGTGTTGGTGATCATGGAAGCTGGTTGATTGACTGGACGGCCTCATTAAAGTATGTTACATACTTACCTCGGTAGCAGTGGCCCATCCTCCAGTAATACTGAGCCCTCATCTTCGCAGGCAGTCGTTCCTTGAGGGCCAGTTTCAGGTCTTCTAGAGCAGCCTGGGGTTTATCACAACGCAGTAATATTTCCGACCGGAGCCACAGGGCTAATGCGAGAGAGATTCCACCTTCAGAAACGATTGCATCGTCTCCGCCTGAAAAATATAGAGAAAGTGACTTGAATTTTGAAAGTACTCGGGCAATGGGAACGTGAAGCATTCAATGGTCAGCTTAATATGTCGCTGTCAATAGTTCGAGTACCTACTTTACTGCGCCTTGCCGCTGTATAGTGCCGCGCTTTTAGTTTGTGTCAAATGTGTACTTTAAGCTCATGTTTACACGTGATGCTGCACTAGCATGTCATTGCAAATATTTATACTCGTACAGCGCTGTGAAAACTCCACTATTTGTGATATGCAATATTAATTCTAGTTACATATAAGGCATTGCATCTAAACACACGTATTAAACTGTGAAACAATTTATAAAATAAAGTTTCTCAGCAATGTACAAGAGTAATTCAGTTCGCAAACTACAAGACTGCAATGCTATCAATAGGTTTGTGTTGTTTGTGTCACAGCAGAGTGAAAAAACAACATCGTTGTATAGTTGTGGTGATCTATTTAACGCGACACTCTGACTGCCTTTGTGGCTGGAGCGGGTTGGTGTCCTAATTAGTAAACTCTCGGCCGGATAAAACATATTCCGGAGGCCGGTGAACATTCACTGGTCCATTTACGGAACTGTATCGTGCTCGACTTAATGCCAACTAGACTGTTCTGCCAACAAGACTGTTCTGGGCAAATATTTGAGATGTTGAAATTAAAATGTAACATGTAGGTACTTAGTGTATTGTAATAAGCTCGCCAATAACTACATAGTGCACGTAACTCTACAAATGAAAAGTAGTAATTAATTTTACATGTCTCCGCTTATCCCTACCAGGAATACATACGTGTGATGTAGCATCATATTGCCGGTAACGGAAGGTGAGAGTGACATTTCATATAGGACTTGAAATGTTAATAGGGCACTTGGTGAGGGGTACCCTTTGATTTGCGATGTGAACATCATGTTATTATTATATCCTAACTAGTTCATGATAGTCGCCAGTCGCTACTGATTCTTCTCAATTACGATTTCAGGTTAATACGTACATTAATTGGTTAAGTTTAATCATTAGAGAATGTTCTAATCACTACTATGATTTAAAACAAAGTTGCTTTTTCTGCCCCTATATCCAAGTGTACAAATCTTTAAAATTACGCAACGAATTTTGATGCGGTTTTTTATAGATAGAGTAGTTGAAAAGGATGTGCAAAGCCGTGGCGGGTCGCTAGTGTATAATATAGAAAGTTCGTAGCTAATTCATGAATATACTTTAATTCATTGTCCAATGGTTCATTGTGAACAAGAAATGAGTATCTAGAATAGGGTTCCAACTAGTTACAGCGAAGGCTTTGGTTCGCGGCGCCTCACTAAGACAGCTTATTAAAAAAAACTTGCTTTACTAGTCTTTGCACATTTTTTAGCTTCACAATCAAAATGCAAGACCTAGATAGTGCTAATGTTCTGTGGTCTGAGAGTAAACTCATTTCTCATAGTCTCTTCCTTAATTGCTATATTTTATGGCGACGTTACACTGTTGTTTTAATATTATAATACTATTAGATTTTGGTTTTTAAAAAAATGGAGTTTGGAGTGTACAGATGCGTTTCAAAGTACCTACACATGTAGGTATATTGTAAGTTACTTCATTAATATAGAAATAAATCCCCTAGCAGGCAAATAACAATGTTAAATATCCTTTTGCAGATTTGGAAATCGAACTATAGTTGGTCGTACATGTAACAACCGGAAATCGAACTGTGATTTAATATAAATATTATTTGCAAATTACTGTCGGTTCAATCACAAACTTGCTCCCGGTAACACAAAGTATAAATGCGTCATTTAAATAATCTTACACGTGTACTCTCAAACACCACCTAAACGGTACACGCGGTATGTTTGTTCCCGCCCGGTGAGGTAAACTGGAGTTGACAGCGTCAAACTTAACAGTGACTTGGAATTAAGTTGCGTTTGTGAGTGAGGTCGTTAGCAAGCAGGCCTTGTTTTTCCGGACAAGTTTGTTGTTTGGCGAAGTTTTGTTCTCCCCTAATATTAGGAGAAAGGTAAACATTTTGATTTACAATCGTAACGTAATGTTGCCAGCCGGATGTTGAGGTTACCAATCAAAGTAAACCGCTTGCAAATTGTAATCTTTGCTGTAAATGAAAATTAGATTACTTTTCTCTAAAAATGCAGATTACATCGATTTTATTTGATAAGTTTTTTATGGGATAGTTGTAGGTCTATGTGTCGTACAATCTCGTAACTCTGAATGCAAGCAAAACTAGATAACATCTACATACCGACACATTTCATTATGAGCAGCAGGATAAACAAAAAAGAAAATTCAGGAATGAAGAATGCTTGAGTATTAAATATTTGGAAAGACGTAAGTGTCCAAAATATTACTGAATTATTGAAATACTGCTAATAGTATGAACACAAAGGTTTGTGTTTATAAGTGTGGACTGGTCGATAGATGGGTGGATGTCTGTAACTCTTTCATGTTAAAAATATTGAACGGATCTGAATGCGATATGTCACTGAGTAAGATTATAGTCTAGAATAACACATAGGCTACATTTTCCTTTAGTTCTGCGAGCGATGCCGGTTCAGTATGAAATACATCGATAAATTGCAGATCGCCCGTTTCGCATGAAATATTGGAAGAATCCTTCTCAAATTTTTTCGAAATTAATTCGATGCATTTCCCCATTATGTTGGAGGCTGTAATATGCGGAAGGTATGTCATGTGTATACATATTGATTCATAAAATACAAAAGTCAGATAAATGTTCTCTGAGGAATAAAATTGTTGCTGTCACTGTCTTAAACAAACATTCTGACGCGACAGCATCATAATTATTCAGCAAATAACTTTGAAAAATCTATTCTAAGACTACTAACACATCCTGACAGGCACTTTTGAATGTCAAGCCGTTCCCAAGTATAGATTCGGATGGAGAAGAACGAGCAAGAAACACCTTGGTTACTCTTTTGCAATCATTTTTACATATATGTAGATTCTTTGTAACTTTATTTAGATGGTTCTATCTTGTCAGAACAGTGCAACAAATATTCCTGAAAAAAATCAATATTCTTCTTAAATACTCGGTATTTAGGTAAGTCAATATCGAGTTCAATTTACGGAAATGGCAGAACAAGCAAGCAAGTTTTAATAAAAAAAACCTTTCAAACTGTTGTGACTTCTTATAATATTATAAATTACATTTTACTAGTTATATTAAAATTATTAAGAATAGATACAATAAAATTGTATAAGTAAAACTAAATTTATTTATATATTTTTGATTTTTTTATAAATACAATGGTCGAAAGTGATAAGAGCATGTGTTAAACAACTGTTAAGATTTTAACTTAAGATTGACTGTTAGGATGAAAAATTGCGTCCTGTCTAATCTATACTAATATTATAAAGTCGTAAAATTTGTAAGTTTGTATGTTTGTATGTAGGGGGGTAATCTTTGGCACCGCTGGTCGGATTACCAAAATTCTTTCACTGATAGATAGCTACAATGTTCCTGAGTGCTATAGGCATAAAACATCACGCTACGATCAAATAGAGCTGAGCAGCGGGTGAAACCGCGTGAGAGTAGCTAGTATTGACTAAAAATCACCCCGTTCCTTTTATACCCCGGGTCCGGACCGGATCCGCGGTACATCACATATTTTCCTTACGCAATCTGATATATACGACCGAAATTGTTCTTAGTATTTCAGCAAAAGCAAATTGTCACGGCAGCTCTCTCCAATGGTATGGTGGGAGCTTCAAATATAAATGTAGTAATATTTAAGTTAGGAGCATAATATTTTAACGTACGTGATGATACAGCATTGATTTTAGAACTATACTATAGGTCACAGTTTATTATTAAAGACTAGGGCACACCGCCGGTCGATATCTACACGGCTATATTATCTACACGGCTATATCTACAGGGCTATTCATTGTCAACACTCTCGAGACTACGTGACCTGTCTCGAGGAGCTCACAAACCCTTCGGTTTTATTAATCGTACCTCATATTATATTCGCCATTTCTATTAAAGTTATTAGAAGACAGACATTTCACAGGACCTCCATTTCAACATTTTCAAAACAATGTCTACTGTACTGTTTTTACTCGTAGAAATTTTGGATGTAGGTTCAAAACCTGGCAAATAGCAATGTGACTTTTTCCGAGTTAAGTATATGTTTTTTCTATGATTATTTAGACACCACTGACAGTGGCGTACGGAGAAAGAAACCTTGACTTATAATTTCTAATTATAAATTTGAAAGGCCGCCTTCAGCAAGCTTGGTGATTAAAGCTCAAAACCCTCTCCGTGTGAGAAGAGGCCCTTGCTCACCAAGGCTGGTGATGAGAAAAGTTTATGTATGCAATTTCAACTCTAATGCCTAGTGTGCCTACATTTAAAATTGTGAAACGTGTTGCTGATGATTGCACGGTACCTGTCATAGGGGCTCTGAGTACTGCTTGGCTGGCGAGTGCTAACGCTTTGTCCACGTCACCGTCCTCCAGCGCCCTCTGAGCTGCCAGGCGGCGGTCCCGGGACACCTGCGCGTCCTTACCGCGATGCAGGGGTTGGATCCTTGACAGCACCTCGTTTAGAGCTTCCATCACCTGCAACCACAGATCTATTGGGTATATCTCATGGGAGCTGCGCATCTAGGGTCTTGATAACAGTGGGAGGAGAGGAGGTACATATCTAGAGGTAAGAATCACATGACATAGAGCATAGGGATAAAATATGTAACTTATTAGTCACGTAGTAAAAATGCTCCAGGAATGCTAGTTATTAAAGTAGCAAATATAAAGTTGTATACTGTGTCGTCGAATATCGTATTAGGTAAAAAACGACTACTCAACCTATATACATAATGACATGAAATAAACACTTTGGTAAAGAGCAACAATTTCAGCTCAGCTTACACGAACTACCTGGACAATTTTCGTTAAAAGCAACAAAGGTAACGTTATCGAAATGTTTTAGCTTGAATTTGTGATTATAGTAAAGAAAAACATTGTAAACTGGTCTCCTTACTCCCTGGAGCGGCTCTTTGTCGTAAATATGTAGTAATATGTGGTGAAAACCAGAGGTTATGGTATAGATACCTGCTATTTTAACTTTGAACTTAAATATATAGGTATATTTGCTATATATTTCAAAATAACTTTTAAAATTATCGTGAAAGAGTTTATAATTCTTTGCCTTCCACTGACGGTTAAGGTGTTCAGTTATGACCTACGTGAAAGGGTGGTTTGAAGCCTGCACCGAAGCGACAATCAGGTCAAGAGCAGTGGCTTTTCAAAGCTGTAGACCTGCCTAATGCCTGGCTGAATAGAATAGACGAAGTATTGTGGGCCGCGATATTTCTTTTTAATCTAGCCATTAGTGCATTAGTGTCAATGAGTAAGGGTTGTATTGAGACGTGACGCGGCGTCAGCTCGGCTTTTGTTTCGTTTTTCTTAAGACGACTAATGGACTGGCTTTGTTCGGTATACAACTCGCATGTTGTTTGTCTAAGACCTGTGATGTCAACAGCTAATACAACGGATAATGGATTTTCTAAACATAATGTCCTCCTTCAGATGTTTTGTAACTTGATACTGCTGTGCACTCCGACTCATTACGACCCTTTATGAATTAGGTCATTAAGGTATTGTTACTCTCGGTCTACGTAAATGTCAAATTGAAAAGTGCTTTAGAAATTTATAACAATGAAAATGCACTTATTTTTTTTAGATACCGAGAAGTAGTTTCGTGTTCTGCTGTTAGCTAAACCAATAAAATATATTGGAGCAGCAAATATCTTAACGCCGTGAACTGAACTCGGAACTAAATAAAAACCTGTGCGGAGTGTTGTTGCCGACAGATATGTTACTATTCAGCGCTGCAGCGCTGCAGCGCTACATTGGCAGGCATTACGTCGCGAGCTGCAGTTTGCGGCGCTAGTCAACTGTTGCTCGCTGCTTTTGTTATTTTGTACTTTTATCGGATTTTATTTTATTGTATCATTGAGTAGCACTGCGCGCCGCCACAGCTCGCCCGTTGTATGCCCGTAATTGGCTGCGCTCGTGAAGCATTTGCCGCCGCCCCGAGAATGTCGAGTCGGTTCAGTAGCTGCATTGTTGTGACTGGGTGAGATATGCCGCTTAGGAGTTTATTGTTCAGGAATATGTGCAAGAATTTAAGTTTACAATTTATTGCAAGTTTGCTCTAGTAATATTGGTTTAGAGAAGTAACTGCGGTTAGTTGTTGAGGTTTATTTTATTACCCGACTACGACAAAGCAAAAGGAGGGTTATGATTTTGACAGGCTATGTATGTATTCATCTGTTCCCCTCGTAACTTCTTAACTACTTGTCAGAAATGACATATCATTAGAAATGTCTTAATTGTCCGCTGGTTATTGGCTATATGGGGTATCACAAATCTAATGTGAAATTTTTAGAGTAAAATACTAAAGTTAAGATAAATAATGTTTAGTATCATTTGAAAGCGCTTTACTTGTACATTTTCAATATGTATATATATTACTAGCATTTGCTTGTGACTTTACCTGTATTCATAGGCTGATTGCATATAATTCACATATTTTCATTCATAGCTTCTACTACTTATCATTAGTTCATCAATTTAACTTTTGTTAATATTATACGCCTCAAATATACTTTTACACCAAAATAGTACAGATAATAAAAAGTAAAATCTAAAACCCAACTACGACAGAAACGACGCGACGCTGTAAAAGTATAAAACATAATTTTCAGAATAATGAATAAATACATTATGCTTGCGAGCGTATATGAGGCTATATGATGGATATTCGATTTATTCGCTAGTTGAAGGATTAAACTGTTTATAAAAATAAAATATTAAACAGTATCAGTCGCGTCATCAACTTAAAATAGCAAACTCGCATTAGTACTCTGTCGCAAAAATCACTCAGATACTGAATGTAAAAGGGAAATTGTCTCACCGTCTCGTTGGCCAGGACAGCAGCCACCTTCTTCGCATCCTGGACAGCTTCGAACTTGTCCAGCCAGCCGTCTGCCTCAGCGATGGAGACCAGCTCCTCGCCCAGCCCCTTGAAGAAGCCCTTGGAGTTGGAGCATAGCGTTATATTGCTGCAGGTTGCAGCGTAGCTAGGGTCCGTCTCTTCGTATATGCGCGGCATTTTGATCCCTGGAACGGGACGCAAAAGGTTCTTTATTGCCTGAATAAAATATCTGCTAAACTATAGGAAATATTGAAGTAATCAGCACGTTTCCCCGGTTAGTGCTTTAGTTGTTATGCTTTGTATTGGAGCGAGTGATGCGTTTTATATTACTTACTGTATAACTGAGCCTTCTCCACCTACTGCGGCAGGTCTTGTTTCGCTTTACTTAGAAGTCAAAACTAAGTAACTGTACACACATACTTACCTATGCGGACCATAACATTTTGTCTAGAAAGAGTAAATAGTATATAAGAGCCACTAATCACCACTTTATTATGAGCCCTGGGTGGAAGAAAGGTGAGACTTGCAGCAATTCTTGATTATGTTTCAAATTTCTAGAGAATATTGAGCGTTACGAAATAAAACAAAACGTTTAGGAACGTAACATGCCAAAGCTTCAGTAAAACTATTAAAAAAATGCTTTCAGTGCGCAATAATGTTCTGTAGAAAGCTGTTATTACTGCGGCCACCGATATTAACGTTCATTAAACGTGGTCAAACGTAATAGCCGCAAAGTACTAGCCATGCACATGCATTACGGTGCAGGCTGGTGCATGGAGCAGATTGACGTCACGACACACGCACACACACATTCACTTATTAGATGGTCAATGGGCATCAATTGAAGGAAAGGTCGAGCTATTTCTCTCTCGGGGGTGGCAGTATAAACTGGAAGTGGGCAAATGTTACATAAACTCGTGCCCACGTCCAACGAGGGACTCTGCAGATCATATTATGTTGAAATATCGCCACAACCTGCCACCTACATCTACCTACTTCATTACTTATGTATACATCTATCCGCTGCGGAATTTGTAAGCTGTAAACTTGTAATTTTATCATTAAATGGATGAGTAGCCACGAGTCCACGACACAACTTTTTGATTACAATTTATCGGCGATATTTTATTTAATAATTTCAACAACTTTGTCAGCCCGTAGCCTGGAGGAAAATGTGAAAGAAATACCGGCTAACATATTCGATTAATGTTGATGATGTAAGAATAACTGGAGTTCCTTAATTATTGATTTGACTTTCTATGTATGCGTGTTGGGATATAATATAACTGCAATAGTTACTGGACTACTTCTAGTCGAAGAAATACAAAAGAACAATGAACAAGCGTCCGATCTAATATTAGCGTGGTGCTGTATGCCCACAAAATGTCAGCGCTCCACGGCTGAGCACAAAGATACGAGATAATTAATTAATTTTTGTACATTAGGCTCGGCCCATTACCGGCTCCAATAACATGGGCAGTGGCCGTGCTGTGTACACTACGTGCAGTGCGGCCAGCTCCTTCAGGATGACAGGCTCATTAGGCTACTAATTGCACAGCGGTCCCTCTAATCATAACATTTCACCAAAATGTTATTAATATATGTAGGCTTGAGACCGTAATAAAGTAATTTCCCTACAACTAACTATACATAATTAATGCTCTTTATCCAAAACGAACCCAACCGGACAATATTGACAAAATTTATTGAAAAGTTGTATTTTCCTGGAATGACACGAGAGTTTTAGAGTAAAAAGTAGAGAAGTGGCCGCTGACTGAGCCGGCGGATATAATGAGGGAATTATTAAAACGTCCGCCGTCCGCTGCGCGGGCGCCGCGTGCTGCGTGCGACGGCCACGAGGGGCGACCACAACAAACGTTTAAAATATGTTGTTCATTGGGAATTTCGCTTCCAGATAATTATGAAATCGTACATTGCACTGCACTGCAGCTACACTACACTCCATAAATATGTAATGCAAATGGCTGAGACGGGCTCTGACTTGTTATTAGTATCAATTGACGTCGATCGTAATGACTACTACGGAGTACGAGTACGACCTTTAACACTGAAAAAATGTGAATAAGAAGAAAGGGCTTTGGTGAGATAATGATGCAATTTCTACATTTACTAGTTTCTAAAACATTGCAATAATAGTATTATCTTACTGATTTCGGCCAAGTATATTATTCACAAGCATGTACGCAAACTTGAACCCAGGTGCTTGATACAATCGCGCTGTGGAACTGCCTGGCAGAGGGATGCCTGGCAGGGCTTATAATGCATATTATACAGCGCCATGTTATGATGCACATTGATTTAAACAAATTACTATAATTGCGCGACGAACAATAGATGACCGCACAGAATGGTTCAGCGCCTGTACTGGCTTGAGATTCTTAATTATCAGCTGCATGTAATATCAACACAAATACCGAGCGGTCTCTTTACTTTGCAATTAATTAGTATGTAATTAGAACTTATCGATGTTCCGTCTTTGGAACTTAATTAAAATAGATGAGGAATTTGTAATTGATTAGAGTATGTCTAGTCGTGTTGAGAAGTGATTACTGGAAATGCTTAGGAAAGTTCGGAAGACGTTCTTAGATAACGATGTATATGGAAAGTATTGAAACCAGGTGAAGCACACCGACCTAATAATAAAGACGAAGTATATTTTTACAGAACTGTCGGCAGTGAAGGACAGCCGTCTGCGACACTAGAGTCATGCTGAGATGTCAGAGAGGTCAGTAAGTGCTGCATCTGAATAAATGGGCCAGGTTCGATAGTGGTCAATTAAAGTCTGCGGTGCCCTCTCTATGCAATAATTTACAACTACAAAAGTACATAACATGATACTTGCATATAAAAGTACATTAACAAGTAAATAGAACAATGCAGTAATTGGATATTGAAATGTTAGATCCGTGGTTCCGACTTAAACAATGTTGTTCTAAGCGTATTTTTTAATCTTGTACACTTTAATATTTATAAATTCGCAAGAACCTATATCTACCGGCATTTTACGGATAAGTATAGGTAGGCACTGTACCAAAATAAACAAAAACATATATATTGATGTCACTTAGTACGTAATGTAAACAGAGGTAATTAATAATTATAGCACAAATTACGTTCACGTTTATGCAATACGAGTACAATACATAGCTGGGTACTTACAGTATCGCGGAGCTGTCTTGGCACGACCAGTGACGCAGAGAAATGACAGAAAATATTATAATTACGAACCTTACCATTTGTAATATAATCACTAAAGAATATCAAAGTGGTAGTTGTATGTTTTTTTACCTTATTTTGTTTAGAGACAGCGAGCTGCCGGCGGCGGCGCGGGCGACCGGCGCGCTCAGTGCTGGCGATGCGCGATGCGCGCGAAACGTAGCTAAAATTACTTTGTGCGTGTAACACTATCGACTCTATCGTTCTATTTTGGACAGTGTGCTCCGCAGCGCCACCTACCGCGGGAACTCGTAACACCATCGTAAACTTTACCCGATTATTATCGATCGTTAAAACGCATTATAGGAAGTGTTTCTTTTCACGTTTAATTGCTTATGTCGGTTACATTATGGGCGCTGTTAGATTGTCGTTAATTGCACGTTACATATGCGTACCTTTGGGTTAGTGCAATTAAACAAACGTAGGCATGATCCTTCTCAGCCGGGGTTGCGGGGCTAGCGGAATAATGTACCGCGGCCTCGGCCTAAAGCAGGAGATGGATGGATGAGGGGTGGGGGAAGGGGCTCAGTAAGAGTCTGACACTCTTTCTTTCAAACCTTCAAGAAACGAGCATATTCCTTCTTAAAAGACCGGCAACGCACCTGTAACTCCTCTGGTGTTGCGGATGTCCATGGGCGGCGCCGATCGCTTACCATCAGGTGATCCGTATGCTCGTTTGCCACCAATACCATAAAAAAAACACTCCCTCTCACCTCAAAATGGGTGACAGAAGTCATTTGATGACTTAACCCTCACATAAAAAGATATGACCCTTCTATAAGACACATGTACTTCAATATTAAGAGAAATGCATCAAGGAAAATGGGACAAATTTTTCTGCGGCACCTAACTTTCTCTGAGAGGTTCTCTACGAATAAAGTGTAGAACTATGATTGACAGAGACTAACGAGGGACTTGGCAGTGACAGCTTGAAGTAACTCGTGGCCATATGTAGTGATAAGTAGTAAGTTACACGAACTACATAAAATATATTTCTCACATTAATTAGTTAAACCTATTTAAATACCTATACATACTTTTGCTCCATTAAACGCCTTTAAATTCATTATGAAATTTGTTTGTAGACAATTGTCTAACATCTTGACACGAGATATGAAACTCATAGATAGACACATCAAAGTTATTTTTCGGCAGGTGAATACGTAGCTAAACCCCGTTCTTGCATTCCTGTTTGATATGTTCACTCCTTATAAATCGGTGAGAGCAATAATTAAGTAGCACTCAGACGCGTATTGTTGCTAAAAGATTTTCCTCAGGAGATTTTAATTAAACACTTCTTTTGTAATGAGATTCTGAATGAAGTGTAGTGTTGTTACGTAATTAGGTGAGAAGCCAAACACTCGGTGGGAAGTGCCATTTCTGAGTAAGAATTAGCTTCGTTCGCTTTTATTTATCACCCACAAAGCAAAGGTCGTGGTTGTGGCTAATGCATGCACTGCTGAATATGGTCCTCGAGCTTGTCTCCACGTCTTTATACAACGATCTTTATGTTTTTATACTAGGAATATTTTCTGTGGTCTCTCAAGGACCTTTGTACTTAAGTAATATGGTGTGGGAGGAATGTTATGCTACAAATGAGTTAATTAAATACTGAGGTCCTCAGGCATGTTTGTCTTATAACGTTGTGTGGTAGTTTGAAATATATCATATATTTTCGTTGGCCAAAATAGTTGTCACCCGATCCGATGGCTATGGGGACAAAAGTTGCCTCGCAATAATTAGCCACAATGTCTGTGGCTACTTGTTTTGTCTATTGCTTAAATCATATCACACCCACATTTGTCTTAGTAATACTATAATACCTATTTAAGAAAAACATTATATTTAATTGATAACATGCAAGATTTTTTAGTATGCTTTAAAGAATGCAGACGGGGCCCAACAGGCATGACGTTCAGCTGGGGTTGTGGGTCAAGCGCAAGTTGGTGCCGGGGCCGCAAGAGATGGAATACGGTAGTTTGTAATTGTAGTGTCTAACACTCCCACTCGACTCACACTTGGCGGGAGAAGTAATATGGTGACTTGACGTGTAAAAGAGCTGTTTGAAGATTTAATTACAAAAATAAATTCCTTGTTTCATTAAGTAATCAGTGAAATATTGAACTGTTATATTGATATTGGTGATTTTTACCCCTTAAAAAGCTTTTTTAGTTTAACTTCCACTCCTTGCTTGAACGAGTACTACAAATTCGATCAACCTGTTAGGGAAACTTATTTATAGGAACCTCTTCTCCTTGAAAGAGTTTAAAAAATAATATTTCTATCTAAACAGAATCAGAATAAAAATCATAAAGATGTATCGGTGACATTGTAAGTAGATAATTGTGCAAGTGTCAGTCACAAGACATTTTTCCGAAGTCATCGTGTGTGTGCTAATTGACGGTCAGTCAGTCTGTCACACCGCGTGCTACATAGGTACTGCCACATAGACTCTGGTAGCGGGGGTACACCACTTGAGACCCGTTAGGAGAGGTACGCGTAATAGTCTGCGGGGTAACCCTCGTTAATTGTATTAGCCATGTACCGACAGCCACTGTAGTACATTTAACCATTTGCGCCGCTTTACATATATTTTGATTCGGTACGCAAAATGTAATGGGAGTGTTAACTGAGGTGGACAACTCTAAAGAGCGTGAAATAGCCGTAGTAATACTGTTTGAATGATGCATGGTTACTTACATACATTTAACATTTTGAGTGCCTCCAAGACAAACAATTGTAATATAAATTAAAGGTTCGTCGGATAGATAACAAAATATGTTTAAAAAAATTATTATTACTTACAGTATTTTTTTTTAATATAACAACAGAGATACAAATGATTTTGCGCTTTACAATAATGTTCTGATTATGAGCGCTGTGCAACTGGCCTGAACTAACAAAATGAAATATTCAACTAAGCATATACAATTTGCAGCATACTTCGGTATGCAAAGGATTCAAAACTGTGTACATTTAACTATTTATTCCATCCATCACCTTACTGAAGTTTGTTTGTCGACATCGAATGCGGTCGTGTTGTACAGCTAAGACAGTGTTTGTTACAGCAGTACTTTTTTTGCTGAGTAACACGAGTCACTGTGTCACGATGATGGTTCGCATTGAACACGAAAAAATGATTGCAGATACTATTCCTTAAATAATTATCTTTGAAATGGTTTTCCAAGGTTATACGGAACGAATGAAGGTAGGTCGATGAAGGAAAGTACGCCGCGGGCTTAAAGCCTCCACTCTTAAAGAAAATTTTCACTTAAAATTAATAAGAAATGTTTTCAATAAATTCTTAAGTAGCTAATTCTATATTTTCTACTGTTGCCAACTCCGGACAGCCTAATCCTATTCCGAACTAGTTCGTGAGTACTACACAAACATTACTAATTGTTCAGATAATTTTCATTTGCTTTTATGTAAACTGTTTGTGAAAGTTCAAGAGAGTTTCATTAAAATTCTGAGTAACTGTAAGCATTATCATAAAAGTTAATATTCAATCACAAACTACTTACGCTTAGTATTTCAATTGCGTTGGAAGTTATCATGGAATAAACCATTCCGCCCTGACTCGTCTGAAGCTGAGGGCACCCACTTCCTGTGTAATTCCTAACTTCAAGTTGTACGGTCTCCAGCCTTGGTTTCATTGCAAAAGACTTTCTATTTAACTGTAATAACAATAGTTATCCTTTGTCCTCAAACAAGGTACACAATTTCCTAAGACTCAGATTGAAGTAACGTCTTTGAGTAGCTCCACTGTCTCGGCGATGTTATGAAAACAATTCCAAATAAAATAACATTGAAGTTGTTTGAAGCTTTCAAAGTATTGGGAAAATATGTGGCTACTGTATTCATAATGGCGGCGGACAAAGGCGGGCGATGTACGAGTGGCGTGGGGCGAGCGTGACCGACACGACTGTTTACACGTCAACTGCTTGGACACGCCGCGTTACTCGCTGAGGCCTACAAATTACATTGAATCTTTTAACACAAGTTGCTCACTTACAAGATGGTGAATATTTCTAGTTTTGTACTTTTATAGTGTAAGGTTAACTTAAGGATGGGACACTCATGTTACGGCTGGGGAATGATACCACGGCCACACAGAATACCGGCGTAAGTTTACTACAGATACAATTCCCTCCTCTCCCTCCAATCTCCAAATCTCTAACTAACAAAACCCTCAAAAAGCCGACTACGTAGGTACATACATACTTATTGTTAAGTGTCGATTGCTTACCTCCAGGAGAACAATCTGCTAGTTTGTCTATTTATCCCATTAAAAGCGAGTAGGAAAATAATTGTGTTCCCTCGCAGTATCGATACATAAAGTTACATTTATGTAGTTGTGGTTGGTTAATATCGAAATAATGCTGTCACATGACACGACCAGAAATGATATATTGCCGTTGTCATTGAATGCACGATTACTGTCGAACTTGATTCATTAGTAATTAATTTTCCACATGGCGGGAACCACATACGTGAAAATGGGGAAGAGATTTGTAATAAATATATGATAAATGAATTGATATTGTTTATCATTTTCGTGATTGTGTTGGTTATGCTGTATCAAGGAGTAAATTTTATGACGAGGGAAGATTTAATTTTATATTCTCCTAGAAAACGCCTACATCTTAAGGATTATAGACTTCATTAGTCAGTTTTAGACAATGCTTTATCTTTTCGACAATCCTTCAGGACCAGCTAAGACTTTTTTTGTATTGTACTTTTATATAGGGGATTGATAAAGTTTTGGTTATTTTAATCATGTATTTTACGATGTAAAGAAAAATCTACACTTCGGACAAAGTGTATTAATATAGTAATACTGTGCCGTGATATCGTTCATCGGAGAGTCGGAATTGTTGCATATAATCGTCAAATTTCTCGTAGCGGCGGGGAGAGCATTGATCTGGTTGCTACTGGATCCTTCAAAGTTGGTACCTAAGTATTTGACAGTGCAACTAAGCCAAACCGAACACTTATGTTGTAGGTGTACGAGTATACTTTCATTAAGTATCCTCAGGTCAACTTTAAATTGTTTTAACTTAAATTTTAGTTCTCTTTCGGCTCAACTGGGAGCTGATGTTGCACAGAAAGTAGGCGATCTTATTTGGCTAGGTTGTATCTATTTATAGGTTTGTAGATTATTATTGATTTGGATACGTCAGGCTTACTGAAAAAATTAGAATTTCATAAATTTATTATTTAAGTAAAGCAACATTTAAGTTTACAGATATACGTATAAAATAATAAGATTTAATGATTGAGATGTTCTCAGCCATGCAGTGATAATTATTGCAGCGAATGCAAAAGCAATCCAAGCGCAGGCGCAGCTGGCAGGCGCGCGCGCTCAGTGAATAGCATCGGTAGCGGGCAATACATTCTCACCTGTCATTACCGAACATAATGATTCCACCGGCGGAGCGTCACTTTAACGGCACGCTGCGTAAGCGATGACGCGACGCTTATCAGCGGTTATCACCCCGCGAGCCTCGCACCTCGTGCCTACGTCCAGTCGCGCGTCCACGCTTGTCTCAAGCGCACGTCGCTCCGCGCATCGCTCGCTCCGCTCCGCTCGCTCCCGAAGCCACACGACGATACCCGTAAGTGTGAACCCTACAGCACTCCGGTCCCGGGCGCGGCCCTGCGCCCTGGCAGCCAGTCGGCCGCTCCAGCCGCCGGGACAACAAGCGCCGCCAAGTTTTGTGTTACCTTATATTGTTTGTAGCATTTACTCGTCGTGACCGTGCTCTTAGGCCACATTTTTGGGGAAAATTTAAACTTTTTTTCACAATTACGTGAGTCACTGGAAACGTAACAAGGCCGCATCATCCCAAAACAAATTTGTCGGTCTTAGTGTATCAGGTTGGATATTCTTATCGCGTTAGATGCCTCTGGCCGAATGCGCTATCGTTTACCGTGAAATCCGTTGTTTTTCGTCATAATTTCGCAAATGTCAAATATTGGCTGTGACAGAATCGTGCAGTGGAGGAGAGTGCGCTCCCCTCTGAAGCGGTAGCGTCTGCCTGTCAGGCTGCCGCAGAATATTTGCTCGCGGTGACGTAACGGGTGAGTGCAGCCTCCTGCATGTAGTGAGATGTCGCCGACACGGTGGTCGGGCTCCACTCTCGTGACATAAACGTGAGTGTGCGACACGGCGAGCCTTGGCAAACTGTTAAATGTTTGCTAGTTACTCGCTACACGACACTCAGATGATTCTCACGCTTACGGAAATCTTATTATATTTGTTTTATATAACTGTTGTCTTTACGCGATGTGCTCCGTAATGGTAGGTTAACGTATCGTTTTGAGTCGTATTTGGAGCGAATTTCGTGAATGATGTCGGATGCAACTGTACTGCTTGCTGCCAACCTTGGTAATGCAGGCAGTAGCTGCACTACTGATGGCAATATAGTAATGGTCTATTGTATTCACCATTTATTCGTTTGTAGTGTCGCCGCCGTCCACACACTGCTGGAAAAGTTTCAGCTACGTAGGAACGCGGCGCGAGAGTCGACAGGAATTCAATTTTCTTTAACCGCACGAAAACTTGTGTTACAGAGTATGTGAGAGGCTGTAGAACAGTAAAGCCAGTCTGATAATGCGAGGAATGTGTTCAGTAGCAAGTGTAGCGTGAACATCGAACACTGATTCAATAAAATATATCGTGTGTCAAGCAAGAGCCTTGTTTACATATAAATGTAAACAAACAAACAGATTATAACCAGTCTTACATGTAATCGTGTGATGACGGTGAAGCCGAGACTGCGGGCGGCGGAGGAGGGGGGGGGGGGGGGTAGGTACAGCGCCCGGTGGGGCAATGGGGGGGGGGGGGGAGCAAGGTCCATTCTTTTACGAAGTGATGCTCACTAGAACAGCTGTTTTTGTAACAATTAAAAAGTTATGTTCAGTAATTAACCGATTTATTCTCCGGTGCTAATGTGAGGGGCACACATATTGTGAAGCGACTTTAAATAACAACTTTGAGTATTGAAGTCTCACACTCTGAATGATCATTCGAGAAACCAAATGCGCAAATGGAGAGGCTAGCTGAAAAATAGATTGAAAATGTTCATACAGTTTAGATTACAGTTTTAGTTTACATAGCGAGACATTTCATAGCAGCACATGTTGTTGGCTAGCTGTCAGCATTCTCGTGGTTTGTAGAACTGCTCGTAGGACTCATCGTGAGAGGACAAAAATGTTCACAATGTTTTGGGGACAGAGTCTGTTACACTTTGGGATTATAACATTGCTTTACTATGAATACGTATTAAAAATGTTGGAAGGTGTAAAAATTGTTTATTAAATACAACATTAATATTTTTCAAAGGTGTACATTTGAGATGAACATGTTGTCTCGTATCCATATTTTTCAATAGTAAGGAGAGTTGACGGTTTAAGGCTTTACGGCGAACATTCATATTATTTTTCCAATAACTCAATTCTGTCAATAGTAATTTCAAGTGAAAACATATTTATTTTGTCACTGATTTAACCAAAACATAGTTTTTTTTTAACAATCATAGGGTTATTAATTCTTTACAGAAACAAATTTTAGATATATTTCTTAGTTTACACTAATAGAGTCAGTTAATTGAACTGAGCGTGGTAGCGTTTGATAAAGAAGTTGCCAAAGATCACTTACTTACTGAATTATGATCAATTAATTAGAAGCAAAATTATGAAGCAACAAATGAATTATACAATTCCTACAATAAAAATTTAAAGAGCAAGTTACTGGGCACATAACGCGTGATGTAGTCATTAGTTAAAAAGCATAGTTAACTCTTACTCCACAGTAATTTTTACCAGTTTTAAACAATCCATGAACAAATGTAGTCAGTACGTAGGTACAAGTCGGCGGCCAATCAGAATGTCTCTTTATCTGGATTAGTTTACGAGCCGATAATGTTAGGTAGTTGTAGTGATAATGGATTACTGATGGACACACATCTTCCAGCTATCTGATAAGCAGTGTGTATTCCTCGGGCGCGGGCATTTCTAACATGGCATGCAATTCTGGCCGTCTTGCAGTCAAAGAATTATACTAACATTCATAATGCTAAATTGCAAATGCCTATACAAATAATAGCTTTAAATCTTTGACATCTAATACGCTTCTGATATATTCCATATTTTAATTGCCAGAGATTTTTTTTTGCCAATTATGTAGTCTTAAAGAAGATTTGTTCTTTGTGGAAAGAAAGGAAAGAAACCTAGATACATGTGAATATATTCCAAATAGTGCAATGAGGCGTATCAAACGCCGTCGCTAACCACTTTAGGGAATAGTTGTATGATAAAAGTTATTACACTTGACCTGGTTAGCTGCTGAGTATGTCAGTCAGTCGTTAGGAACTATTAGGTCCTACTTGAAGTTATCTCAGTAATGGGATCGTGAAGTATTAAACCGCGGAGTAGATAGTCATTGATAAGGCTCGCTGCTCGCTCCGCGGTGTTGCGGCGAGAATGATTCGTCATCGTGTACATCTTGATGCTTGATAGCGTATCAGTAGGTAATGCCAGCGAAATCGGTGTCGGCTACAAAATGTTTCAACTTATCTCTAACTGCGGTTTGATGAAATTCGTATTGCTCATCCATCTATATAGGTACATGTCTATTTACGTACATAACACTTTATAATGTGTTGTTGTACACTTTTATATCTTGAGAAGGTTATTGCTTTTGTTGTCAACTAGGTACCTTATCAGTAAAGTACACGATGAGTAGGTACTTTAGGATAAAATATTAGAGTTCCATTCTTTGTCAACTACCTGAAGTATTATTGTGTGCTTCCAACTTCCTTTTTTATTTCTTTAGTTGTTTTATTCCCGCGAATCTTATAGACTGCCAGCTTCTGATAATCTACACTGCATCGGGACATGGTGCACTTACATTGTTATTGACAATTCAACCATAGTACTTTTCAAGTGCTTAGCACTGCCGTTAACTTTAAGTTTTTTGAACAACAATAAGTTTTAAGTGAATGCGATCTTTATATTTTTGGTACACTCTCTGTTTTCAACGTTGCGTCACTTCGTGAAACTTCCATCATTTTAAAATACGATTTTATATTTTAATATCATTTGTGCTACATGAAATTTGAGACTGAGACTAGTAACAGCATCGTGCCCTTTTAATATTGTATATTAGGACTCGCGTTACGGGCTATATATTCCACTCTCTAGTATAAATCATCTTTATGAATGTTGTTCGCCATTTATACGCAAACTTTTATTCTCGTTATGTATTTCTTAGTCCTGTAATATGATATTACTTTATATTTTCTAAAATGCCTGCTTGTAACAAAGATATGAATTCAGTCTGTAAACAGGAATTATTTTAATTGTGTGGAACTTTCCGGAAACTAAATCCTATTACGTAAGTGTTAAAAACGTGATCCGATTTGGCATCTTAATCTATTCACCAATTAAATAGATTATTGAAATATAAGAGTGATGTGTCATTGCGTACTCGTCGATCTACCTACAGGTGATATACGGTAGTCTTGTATGTAAGTGGACAAAAACTGCACGTTCGCTGTGCGCCAGTTACAAACGAGCAAACTTCATAGACTCATAGATGCCAGACTGACAGGCTATGGCAGGTGCTAGCACATACTGGCAGGTAAAAGGCACATAGTACGACAGTGTTGTTAAATATTTTGGTTGAGCGTCATTCGTGGCCCGTGGCGAATACACAGTAACGCGACACAAAACACATTGTATAGGACGCAGCCTTCACGCTCGTGTCACCAAAGGATTAGGCAGAGGTGCATTGTCGTGCTGCCGTAGTCATCTGACGGCAACGTATTATGTGGCCGGCGGTGGACGCTTACAATGCTTTTGTTACTTTATCACTCGGATCAAATCGATTTACAAGAACATTGACTAATTACCTACCGGGCGACTATTTTTGGAACAAACCATTCGAGTAATGTTCCAATAACTACAACATAATTAGTGTTTTATGATTCGATAGATTACGATTACGATGGATACATCTTGTCGGTTGCGTTTATCATAATTGAATCAAATAAAATGGCTAATAAACAAAACATTTTGTTACTTTTATAACGGATACGGAGCGCAACCTCTGGGTAATGAATGTCTCGCCGTGAATATTTAGCAAAAATGTGGTAAAGATGTACGCGCGATACCCCGGGCGAGGTATTAGCATATAGTAGGCACAGTACCGGGGTGGCGGGGCGCACAGACGTAGAGACGCACCGCGGCGGCACAATAATATGTCTCTCCCCGGGGGGAACACTTCACGCAACGTTCTGTAAATCTTTACAATTTAGGGACTTGGACATTTTTGTCTTGATTAAGTTTTTGTTCCGTCCCCGAGGGCCGGCTCGTCATGCGATCCGCCGGCGCTGCTGTGTCTACTCAATGCCACCCGCCAGGTACTGCGGCGCGATGGGGTTACTGGGCCACACTGTCCTCCGTCCACTACACATTGATAATTGGAGGAATCAATCGATCGACACAACTGTTGTGTTTGTTGATGAAGAATTAGTTAATTAGGTCATAGTTCGTCAGTACTCGATACTCTCCGCACATTGCTTTTTTACCTGTAAAATTAAAAAAAGAATTG